CCATGAAACAAAGCTGTGTGTGTGTGTGTGTGTGTGTGTGTGTGTGTGTGTGTGTGTGTGTGTGTGTGTGTGTGTGTGTGTGTGTGCTAATGCAGCCTCTTTGCTGCAGCAGCTTTAAAATGCCAAAATTCTTGTTATCAAGCCGTTTCTGCTGCTGTGGCCAAATAAAAAATGGTTTATATATATATAGAAATATAGATAGATATTTATATATAAAAACAATCACTATAAATATATATTTTTTATTTTATTTTAGGTGACAATCAACAGTAAAGGCCTGGTGTACTCTGTTATTCTGCTGCTGGCCTCTGTCACTCTCACTGTGAGTAAATCTGTTAGGATACAGGATTAATCCTCGCCTCTCTGAGAGGAAACAGAACCAGATCCGCCTCCTTTTTTCCCTCGCCCTTAAATCTGACTTTACCTGGGTGTTTTATTTCTCTTAAGGCTAAAATTGCTCGATTGACTTTTAAAACTTTCTTGAGATTAAACAGGATGTAAAACTTGTATCATTAGAGTTTGGCTGCAGCGACAAAATCCGTCCATCTGTCTTTCTGTTTCTGTCCGTCCATCCTCAGGTCCTGTGTGTTCATCTGAACCGCTGGAAGTTGGACCGCAGGCTGGGCCTCTGTCTCCTGCTGCTATACGCCATCTTCCTTCTCTGCTCTGTCGGCTTCGAAAGGCTGTAGAGCAGAAACAAACCCGTCCCATAAACACAGACAGGTTGCCCCGATTCGTTTTCCTCTTTTGTCGACAGCATCAAATCTACACAACCATGCGTTTGAAATAAATATCGTAGTGGCTGTAGATGTTACTGAGACACCGGATGTCTATGAGTGAAGTTTACCTTTGATAAATGAGTATTTTAAATAGTTTTGTACTAAAGCACCTGAGAACCCCAGAAGAAAAGCACTTTGTGTCACAAAAAAGTTTCTAAAATGAAAAATGTATATTCTTGAACCCCAAAGTGAGTTAAGATCTTTGTATTGAGACATAACCTAAGAGAGATGTTTATGTGTTAAGGTTTACAGATTTGCTTCCCAGTTTCTGCACTTTTATCATGTTAAGTGTCCTCTTTTCTATCCCAGTCCTGTGTTTGTGACTTTGAACGACACAGCATGGTCATCCCAGTGTTTGCACTAACTCACTGTTATCCTGCCCAAAAGCTTACCAACCAGAATGTCTATTTGAAGGGTCTTTGAGTAACATTCCTGAGTTTTAAGTGCAATGATTCTTCTGCACTGTTGCCCCTTTGTGCCTAAAAAAAAAGAATCACCTTTCTATTGATCGCCTGCTCTAAAATTCAAACTTTGGAACAGAAATCTGTGTTTGGTGTTACAACCAGTTCTCTGCTGATTTCTAAAAACAAAATCATTTGCATCAAGAACATTACTATTTATTTACTAAAAAAAAAAATCTATGAAATTGTCAAATACTGACACCTATTTATTTACCCGATTATCTGTGACAGTTTGTATGTATGACTTCCTGTGTTTCATGTAGAATAAAGCAAACTTCCTTTTGTAGCCATTTTCTGCAGCACAGACAGTGAAAATGTGTTTTAACTTTGTCCATGGCCAAAAGCAAAATATTTTAAAATAAATACCTGTCATGATCGACGACTTCACTCATTTATTGTTGTAAATGAAGCCAGACCTGCTGACTTTCCACTGATGGAGACAAAGAATCTGAGTAGCTCTGAGACATTTAGAGAGACATTAAAGAAAATAACTTAGAATTTCTTCTTTGAATTTCACCTCAGAAAGTTGAAAGTCATTCCGTGGTGCAGGGTCACCAACGTGGTGCCCAAGGGTCCTCGGAGGGCCTCATGGGGTGCCCACAGCATCTTCTGAAAACAGCACAACTCACCAGTTGAAATTCTATTCTGTTGCCCTTCTTTTTAACCATTTATAGAGCATTTCATCATTTTAATCATACAGGGAATGTAAGCATTTATAGAGATTTAAAAATCCCAATATCATAAAGACAATTAAGAACCAAAGGAAACAATAAAAATATGAATATTATGTATGAAGTTTAGGTGAAAGCTCATCCATCCATCCTACCTACTTACCAACCTCTTCCTTTTCTTTCTTCCCTTCCAATAAAAATATGATTATTATGTATGAGGCTCCAGTTCATAGGTCAGTATTAGCAGCCATAGCCCTTCCTATGACAGTATCCATGAAGTATCCCTACCCTAGAGATCATAATGTGAAAAAAAGATCAAAGTAGTGAGGTTTACTTTTAAAGAAAAAAATGCAGCAATAGAGAAAACTGATCCACCACCTAAGCTGTGAAATAAATGGGCAGATAAACCTGTTTAACAAATACAATTACTGAGATGTAAATAAGATAGGATGGGAAACATTACTTTATTAAAGATATTAAATGAAAAGTACAAACATAATGGTACAGAGGGATTCTCATTGGAAAATTCTCATAAATATAAAAAAGTAAAAGTCCCAGGAAAATGTATACATAAATATATACAAGCTAAAGCTACAATATGGTTTCCATAACCTAAATAGAAGTTAAGAAATTCTCCTGTGTGATGCCAAAGGTTTTTTTTCTTCTTTGATCAAAGGAAGTGAAGCTTATCTTATCACCAGCTGTAAGGAAGTTTGTTTTTTGGCCGATTATTTATTGTAACAATGAATCTTGGTAATTAAAGTTTTCTTCCAGAGGTTTGGATGCTGCTGCACACAGCCTTTAACAAGTGCATTTTTCTTTAAAAAAAAAAAAGGACAAAAAGGGTTTCTATAACTACATTATGTCCATTTCTGTATATAGTAACACTTATTTATAGAAAGGAAACTTCTCTAAACATTTGACAAGAAAATTATTCTGCCATCTAGGAAAAAAAAGACAAAAAATTAAAGGGATTTTTCCTCTGAAGTATGTCTCAATCAAATAAACCAAATGGTGTGAAAACATTAGTGGTTTTCTTAATCACTAATAAACCAGTGAGACAGTGGGACATGATTCAAAATGATCTTTATTTCAGTCGGGCTAAATCAGCTTCAATACCAAAAAAATGTAAAAATAAAAATAGTACAACAAAGTACGTCATCTTACAAATACTTATGAAGAAAGTCTGACATAAACAACTGGAAACGTCACAGTCATAACAAAAATATAAAAGTCAATACAGTACATAGAATGGATTAGGAGCTATATATATATATTTATATGTCGAAGTGTTTGCAATATCATGGACTTTACAAATTCAGCTAGTAAAAACTCCCAATACCAATGGAATATCAGAGAATACAAAATGTAAATAAAAAAGAAACGGCTGGGATGAAAGTGTGTGCATGTTGCATGCAAATCAACCCCAGAGGGACGAAGGATAAAAACAGCTAATTTGAGAAGGAGTGTGTCTCATTGGCACCACAGCAATGTGTGAAATGATGAGAATTAAAAATAACATGATAAACATTTAATTATGATCATCTGTGATTTATGTAGTGAGCTGAAATATGAAGATCAGCTTAGCCAGCGAGTCGGAGGCATTTTAAAAGTGTTTGTTCATCTTGATGATGAACTCTGCTGTCTCAACACACCTTCTTCATCTTTTAATACATTATGATAAAACATTGAACTCCGAGTGTTTGCGTCGTCTTTTTGGAGCCAAATGAAAGCCACCGTGAGGGTGGTGCTAAATATGAGCTGACTGAGCGGAGACAGGAGTCGCTGTGATGCGTGTAGCATGATTAAGATACACAAAGGGAAACCTCACCGAAGCACGGTAAAAGGTTTGGTGGATGGGACAACAGCACACACCGACAAAAGCCACTACAAAAGCCCACTAAGAACCAGAAACGACAATTATATTTCTTAACCAGATATACGGTGACGTGTTCTCCGCGTAAAAATAGATCTTTTAGCTCCCTGCTGTGTCTTTGAGTGAAGGGGTTAAAAATAATCAGCTGTGATGCTAATCGTTCCCATGGAGACAGCAGCTACTGCCGTTACCGTGTGTAACAGTCCATTAAGAATGATGCTAATACACATGATATGTTACATGTCTGACAGCGAGTCTGGGGGCCGTTGTAGGCAGGTTTGTAGTGATAGTTTGATCCCTGTGTTGACTGATCTGAGGTCTGTTCATTTTTTTTATCCCCCCCCCGCCCGGCTAGCACTGTAGATAAGAGCGACTTGTAAAGCTGATCTGCGATCTGGCTCAGCTAGATCTGAACAGAGCCCCGGAGTGACGGGCTGAGAGGAGGTCTGACATTTAGGGCCGGGGTCCGCTGGGGGTCCTGTTGCTGAGAGGTGGGCTTCATGTTGGGACGTCACTCTGGGGCAGAGCTCTGGTTCTGCTGGTATATGGAGGCTTTGTCTTTTAGCAGAGCCAGGCACAGGTGGCAGCTCCAGCTCCCTGTTAATATAAAAACAAGAAACGTTAGTGGATGGGCGGAGCCTGTCTGCTTCTATGAGGAAAATATGGTGCCAGCATTATCTGGAAACCAAAATGATTAAAACTGCAGAAAGAAAAAAAAAAGTAAGGCATGTTTCTGTGTACATATATGAGAATGCATTGAAATATGGTTTAGTTATTGTAATATTTATCAAATTCTGTAGTCAAAAGGTTTATATAAAAAATAAAAAGAGGTTGAAATTATACACTAAATTTGACCTGTTTTTCTCTTGGTATTGAACTACAGAAGGAATAAAAAAAACTATATATATAAAAAAACAACAACAATAGATTGACCATTTTTGAATTGAGTAAAGAAAACATTTTCCAGCACATATTTAAAAACAGTTGAGAAGGTCCCACATAAAGATAAAGATCTGTGTTAACCCCCCTCCTCAAATGTTAAAACAAGGCAGCAGATCAAAATGTTTGGATGATCGCTGCCATACAGGCGACCCTCCACAGTCAGCTCACCCTCTGGTGGTTCGGTCATAGGGGGGCTTAGACAGTACATGTGGTAGCCTCGATCGCAGTCGTCACAGAAGAGCAGCTGGTCCTGCAGAAACAAAAACATGTTTATTACCTGATCCAACTGCAATTCCTGTTTCTTTTTAATAGAAACATTAAACCAGTTCAAGCAAACACCCAGAGTTGGTTTTAGATTTTGGTTGTGGAGGGATATGCAGACAGACTGTAACCTTTTCATCGTCTCCAAAAAAGGTGAAGCATAAGAATTCATCCCCAGAGGAAAGCAGTTGACCTTTCCCATCGCTTATAATCAGGCTGCTGACATTTACTGGATCAGCACAAATGAAGGACGGGTGTTGACTGTAAGATAAGCCCCACTGTCCTAGATATGCTCTTCAGAAAAACCACTTTCACATTCAGTCTTGTGGGAAAAATCCCCAAAGAGGTTACAACTAAAAAAAAAAAAAAAAAACATTTTAGCCTTTTCCTTTAATAAATAAAGCATTTAAAAAGTTTGTCGTTGATCACCATGGGTCTAATTCGGTTCCCAAAACCATTAGTTTCAAAACAACAACCGATAATCCAAGCATCACCAAAGCTAAAAGCTGATTTATATTACAGCTCACCCCGGTCCCCCTTAAAACAAGAACATCCAGCATTTTTATTGTCATTACACTGTCACAAGTACAGATTTACTCTCTGCATCCGCTTGGGGAGCAGTGGGCTGCCATTGTGTGGCACCCAGGGAGCAGTGTGGGGGTTAAGGGTCTTGCTCAGGGTGGTCTTGTGAGAGTGGCAGTCTGTGGGAGTGGGGTTTGAACTCAGAACCTCAGGATTCTAAGCACAATTCCCCAACCTCTAGGCCGCCACTCCCTTAAGAATGAATTAGCGTTAAGGGTCTTGCCTAAGGACCCACACTGGTAGCTTCTTCCCCTCCAGCAGGGATAAGAACCCAAGCTTCCTGTTTGCAGGATGGGTAACTTGCCATTTTAGCTAGCCAACCGCTAAAAACAAACACAGCCATTAGTGAAAGGAGTAAGCTTTGCTATCAATAAATCTCACAAGCATAACATCCACATCAGATGGCTTTAATATTATCAAAGAGCAATATCTGATTCATCTGTAACTCGTCAAACTGTAGGCGAACCAGACTCCAATATTAAGTATTTATCAAATCCACTGCAATGAACTATGGTAAAAAGGTAGAAGAAACTAAAAATAAAAAAATGTTTTTGCAATTTCTTAAAAATTAAAAAGTGAGTTTATTAAAAATGTTTGATTCGCAGTATGATTCAGACTCAGATCAACAAGTTTCTTTTGGCCTATTAAAAAAAGAAGAAAGATGACACGTCTGTTTAGAGAAGACAGGGAAGAGGCTCACATCGTTCTCTGAGGTGCCACAGACGTTGCAGCATTTGCACTCGATGCACTGCCAGCGGTACGTCTTCACGGCAGCCATCATCACTGGGGTGAACTGCAGACACGTCGGATGTCCTTCCACACAGAGAGGGAGACATTTTTAATCAACTTACAAAAACAAAACAACTTAAATCTTTACCAAACTGAACATTTAAAAAAAAAACTCAAGTTAACAAGAAATTTGATAATGAGATTCCCTCCAAAAAAGTTTAAAAAACAATCCACGGTTCGTTTAATTTTTTTTGGAATGACTATGACCTGGATGACTGAGAATCTTCACCAGCAAAGATAATAAGATCAGGAAGTAAATGTGTCTTCTACATTCAAGCCATCTCTCAGGGAGCAGTGGATGTCTGAGCGACAGGAGGACAATCCAGCGCAGCAGTCTGTGAACCTGCAGCCAATCTATTCTAACCACTAGGCCACCACTCCGCTGAGATTAAAATATGAAAACTACACAGATTACATCAGTATTTCTATTGGATTGCAGATAATAAAGCTTTACTAACGTTTTTTTCTTTTCTTTTTACACTAAAACCACAAACTTATTTCCATTTAAAATAAGGGACAATAGCTGGTGCAGCAAACAGATGCCACATCTGATTCAATCAGAGCATAAATCCAGCTGTTCTGCCTCAGATGCTAATGCTACAGATGCTGAGGAGACCAGGATCTTTGGACAGGACAACTGTAAGTAATCTGACCTTTAGGGAGAAGAGGGATTTTTCAGTCTATGTGCAAGTGAAACATGGCGGTGGTAGTATTATGCTCTGGGGATGATCTATTTCAGCTTGGATAAAAGAGCTGGGCTCAGCTGCTGGGAACATGAATGGGGACCACAATTGACCAAATTGTGGTCAAGTTGCTGGTTGTTTAGCTGCTCTGTTCTGTAGCCTCAAGCTAGAGAGTAGCTTGGCTTTATTCACTTTAATGTCAGTGCAGTCGGTTCATCAGGATTATGATCCCACTAAAATATGCAGAGCCAGGAAGCGCTGGAAATCCCCGCAGGGAGCTCTGCAGCTTGTAGGGGATTTCCCTCTGCCTTTCGTAGAGGCTAGAAGTGAATATAAAGAGTTTTTAAGGTTTGTGGTAAACACAGCAAGTACAAGAATATACAATTGAATGTTTTTTTGTTGACAGGTTGTAAAATTTCTAGTTAATTTGGGTATTTATAAACTTTTTCGCCATAGTTCATAAAAAAATGTTTTAGTGCAGCAATGTTGATTAGAGCTCGCTCTCTGTTCCTTCTACACAATAATCCATGCTTCTTGGCTTTTTTTACCTGCAGAAGCAATGGTAGCCAGTAATGTTTGTCTCCCCCAAAGAACTCCTGGAACAGCTTTTCTGAACGGTTGATGCTCCGACATCCAGTGGTAAAAGTTTAATTTACTGAACTCTAGCATTGAACGCTCAGAAAACCTGGTTCGTTAGTGACCACCCTTTTTGTCCTAGGATCTAGTTGACATCTAGTGACATCACTGGAATGTCTTGCTACTGCAAGACATTTCATCTTTAAAGGGGAATTTCAGGTTTTTTTCATTTGGCCCTTGATTTTACGTTATTACATCATGTTCTACTCACCCATATGAGTTTTGTGTCATTTGGAGCCATTCTGAAGATATTCGGTTTACTCATAGGAAGATGTTACCTGGATATAACCTAACTGAATATGTTCGGAACAGCTCAAAATGACACAAAACTCATATGGGTGAGTAGAACATGATGTAATAACTTAAAATAAAGGGCCAAATGTAAAAAAAAAAAACAACGTTCCCCTTTAAGAGCTTGTGAAAACAAAGCCGGGATCCTAGAAAACACTGCGTTGCTTTTAATTTAGAGAAGAGCTCCTACCTGACCGCCCGCAGTCTGAGCAAGACACCAGCTCCTCTGATTGGCCCGTTTTCTGATTCAAAGTCGAGTCCCCCAGGCAGAAATCACAGTAATCGTTGGGCATTGCCAGTCCATTGGGACCCTTTTTTGTGGCTGTTTAGGAAAGAAAAAAACAAACAAAAAAAATATTCCAGGTTCATTAGAGTAGAAGCTTTGGCCAAACCAGGACTGGTGAAACATATAGGAGTCCACTGCCTGATGTCTAACAAAGGAACCAGTTAAACTAACTTCAGTTCAGAAGCTTTTAGATACTGGATCCCAATATGATCAAAAGAATGAAAGAACGTATGAATTTCAAACATGGTGTAAAGTGCAAAGAGGAAGAAAAAAAAAAAAACCCAAAGCAATGTGAAGGGATTCTGTGTTTGAGGAAATGATTGATAAAAAAAGTGCCAGATTTCCCAGATGTACAAACATGTTACAGTCAGAAACATTCAATCTGATCAAAATTCAAAATCATGAAAAATAATAATTAAAAAAAGGTGGGGAAATAAAAAGCACACACAAAAAAAGGGGGGGAATGAAAGACTTCCTTTTCACCAACACACGTGCTACAAGGCATGCAACCAAACCTCCCTCCTCTCTGTCTATCTGCCCCTCGCTCTCAGCACTGGAGGAGTAACTCACTCTTCTGCTCCTCAGGCTGGCGAGGAGTGGGTGGTGCCTCAATCTCCTCGTGGTCCTCGCCCTCCTCCTCTGCCAGGTGAGAGTGTGTATAGTGGTAGCTCAGGCCTGGGCGATTCTTGTAGCGCTTCCCACAGACTAATACACACACACACCGTCATACAAAAGTGTTATGGTGATTCGGGTTTCCCTTACAAAAACAAAACAAAAAACAGGGCCCCGCATGGAGCCAAGCTGGGAGCGTGGCATTCATCACTCCCCAAAAAAAACTTCTTTTCGTTAAAATATTTCCACACAGTGATTTTAGGTGGACACGCAGGTAGCAAACTCAGACAGCAAAAGCACAGCGAGCCGAAGCCGGCATGTAATCAGACAGCACACAGACAGCGCATCAGCTGGGAGAAACTCCTCTAAACACAATGCAAACTGTTTCCAGGTTGGGGGGGGCTTCCAATTCATGCACATCCAAAGGCCTGCCTCGACCTTTCAGGGATAAAAGCAAAAGCCTCTCCTGCTGACATGCAAACAGACGTCCTGCTACTCACTGTCGCAGGCGTACGGTTTGTCCCTCTCCTCCAGCGCTGCGGCTGCAGCCTCCGTTTTCTTCTTCCCGTTCTTGTCGCTGCGACCCTGAAAAAACAATTGAACACGGAAAAAGAAAAAAAAACTCACTTTGTACAGATGCAGTTAAATACTTAGAACTGAAACATTGAACTTAAAAAGTGAAATTCATTTTTATAGAGATACTTTAAACACTTATTTCTGTTCGTTCTTTAATATAGCTTATATCTTATGTATCTGCTTCTTGGATTATTTTATTATTTAAGACCTCTAAAAGTGATTTTAATAAATTAACCTTACATAGTTGACATGTTGTTGCGCTAAATAATCATAGGGAGACTTACTTGAAGCTGTGTGACGGATCCGTCACTGATATCCTCCCCTAACCCACCAATGTTCTTTGATTCATCAACATCTTAATGCTGTAGTTACCCATTTTCTGGGCTATTTTTCTTCTACAAACCGTTTTCCTTCCATTCAAATATGGAATGGTTGGATAGAGCACTGAACGGTGAATGGTGTGATGAAGAACATGTTCAATTAGCAATCTTTCTCCATGTTTGCTCAGGGCAAGATTGGCCTGAATATCTATTTTTATCTTTGTTTGCTTTGAAAACTTCTTATCTAAAAAGAAAAAATCTTCTCATCACTAAAAATGGTAATCTTGACACAGAGTGCTGGAAACTTTGTTTTTTCCTTCTCTTTCATTCCTCTGACTTGTGTCTCCCTACATCACATCAAAGTTAGAACACTTACCTTGGATTTGCTCTTGCCTCGTCTTTTGGGGGTCTCATCTTCGAAGTCTTCATCATCGAGGTCATCTAAGTAGTCATCGTGGTCGAGCACTCTCTGCTGTAAGAATCTAAATTAGCTTGAGGTTCAAAATGTCAAACCTGCTTTATTTTCTGTATCTGAAAATACTTTTAGATTGTTCAGTGTTTTTTTTCAATCAGACTGTAATTGGACAGAACCGTCTCCACCGCAGACAGGACCTGGTTAGAGCTTAACGTCTAATCATCATTTTCCTCAACGGAAACGATCGTATAATGAAAAAGTCCAATGACTTATCAACTAGTGTTTGGTATCACATATTTGAACGGACGGTGGACTTTCTGAAACTCTAATTAGATTCTACACACCGAGACACAATTGCTGGAACCTTTAGATTACTGATAAAAAAATGGTGACAGAAATAACTGGGATCTGAGATAGTATTAAGTAATAATTAAGTAATAATAAATATAAATTCTATAAAAATAAACAGATCAAAGTCAGACACTGATTTTAAGAAATAAACATACTGAACAGGCTTAGACTAAAATTATGGCACCCTTAGATTAATACTCTGTTATCCAACCTTTTAAGTCAATTAATGCAATCAAACGATTCCTATAACTGTTGAAGATCCATGACCTGAGACTGAGACCAAGCTTCCTGATACTAAGCAGCAAATTTCTTTCTAGAATCCTTTCATAGTTTGGAGGTTTCATCGAACCCTGTAGAGGTTCAGACACCCTGTGTCAGATGAAGCAAAGCAGCCCCACAGCATAACAGAGCCTCCTCCATGTTTCACAGTAGGGACAATGTTATTTTCTTAAGATAAAAACGCACCCACACTACTGAATGAATAACTTGCCTTTAGCATGTGGCAGAAACACTTTTTCTACCAACAAAGTCCTGTGATGCTTATGGCTACATATTTTATCCTCTCTGCTTAGTTGAACTGTTAAACGCTCTTATTTTATTTTATTTTTTAAGCATTTCCAATTACTTTTCATAAGACTGAAGTCAGAGTTGTACTAAAAGCTTAATGTAAGCATGCTATAATAATTTCAAACCAGCTTTAAAATCTATCTAGGATCCTTGTCCAGTCGGAGCCCAGTTCAACCCTAACTTGACATCACTGACTAAATATTTGTCTTCAGAAAAAAGAAACTTGGTTAAGATGTTTAAAAACAGGCCAAGAAGCACAAAGCCTACATCCAAGTACAGACCAGACACCTTCTGGAGAAATTATTTATGGCTCAAATACCAGTGGTGGTGTGTAAATATTATACTCTTATAATGAATGTGAATTAAATAACAAATTCAAGTGTTTTGTCAACTTCTGACTGCAACTACAGCTAATTCTAACGCTTTCCCAAACACAGCGCAATCGTATCATCCATGCATTTCCAAACCATTCTCTAAACACATCGGGGTTTGAGAACATTCAGCCTAACCTTACGGATGCGCCCAGAAGACGTGTGAGTGACGGCTGACGTGGCCGGAGGCTCCACGGTGACCGGATCGTCCTCAGGAGCTCGAACATCGGCCACGCCGCTCCTCCTCTCCAGGGGTTCGCCTTTTAGCAGAGCCTCCAAGCTGCTTCCATCCACTGTTCCCAAAGCCTCACGCTTAAGCCCCAGCTCTAAATCTGCTGTGTTAAATGATAAAAACACCAACATGAGGAATGGAAGAGTATGGTGAGAGAAAAACATCCAAAACTCCTCATAAAAAGATTCTGCTACATACAATATAAGGGATTTTCTCAGAGTTATTAAATCGTACAACAGCTAAATGTGCCTGAAGAGGGGAAAAAAGTATTTCACCAAATGTTTTACCTGCTTTGAGAGGAGGGAAAGCCAAACGAGGGTCCTCTGGAGGATGGGAACGTCTCTTCTTCCTCCAACGGCGAGCAGGGTAAGAGTAGAGCTGTCCTGGAGCTATACCTAACATTTTATTGGAGAGTGAAAAAAGGGACCAATTATAAAAGAGGAAGGATTGTTTATAATCTCAGGCTCTTTGGAATTACATCAAAATAAAGCCATAACACATTACTCTCAATGAATTAACACTTCATTGCATCGCCAATAAAAGACTTGTAAACTTTTTCAAGTAAGACATTAATTATTTACCTGCACTCCTGTGCCTCTTCTCCATCCAGATGTAACAGTTGGACTGTGCAACTCCAGTCTGAGAATCCAGGAAGGGCATGAGGATGCTGCGTTCAGCACAGAGACGGGCGTTGTAGCTGTGACACTGCTCCATTGCATCTCTATAATACTGCTCTCCAAGACTGGCAAAAAAAAAAAAAGAAGGCAGGTTAACAAACGCATAACCAGAAAGATTCTGACTACAACCTTGTTATTCTGCAGCACAAAGCTGCAATACGGTTTTTAATTACAGTTTCATTACTAATTTAGTAGCATAGAGCTCTTTGAGCTCATTTTTTATTGTATTAAGTCAGACATGTAGAGGATAATATTCTGCAATGCAAATCCAGCAAAATTATCTTCTATACAAATCATTAAATTTAAGATGCATTAATCAATAAGCCACTTTTTGTTTGACTGATAAATGAGACATCAACTTATTCAAATCATCATATGCATTGAAACTAAAATCTCACTATCTTTGATAAATAAATCAGTCACCTACATTTTTTTCTGAAATGAAAATCTGATTAAAGTTAGGATAAATTAGTATAAACCTATTAAAGATTCAGCAGGATATTTGTGTCTTAGTAATGGACAGAAACCAAGAAAAACAGCCGTAACAAGATGTCACTAAAACAGACAACATAATCATAATCACTTCATATTTACATTACTTTATTTTCCAGATTCCAATTGTAGAAGTACCAAGAGCTTTTTCAATACTTTTTTAAAAGCATAAAAGCACTTCCTGATGAAATCATGGCACATATTTCTGGTCAGGCTTAGATGGATGTATATCATCTTATTTTCTTCTACTATATATATATTCAGACTTGAACAATAAGAAAATATTTTCATCTTTTTTATTTATTATGAAACCTGACCAGAAGATACTATTGTTTACACAATTGACAAGCTAAAACTAAGATGGTTTCATAAAATGATCAAACAAATGAAGGTCTTTGTAATAACTTCCCAATTACACTGATCAATAAATAATAAACTAATCCCACTAAAAAGTTTCTGAGAGGCTTTGATGTTGACTCTATGTTTTTCTATTCAGTCTCAATTCACAATACATGTATTTCCCATTTCTTTAAGAGGCAAGTCAATCTAAATAATACTTAAAGAATAAAGATATGTGCAAAGATTCAACTAAACAAAGATCAATCAGTCCTCCATTAAACTGTAACAACACCACACCGGTAAATAAGATGCATTTGGAAGAGAATAACCTCTCACACAAGGGAGTTCGTGTGATCTGATTTGAGTAATTTTATCACATTAGTGGGAAAACAGCTGTTCTCATTGAAGCAGCCTGATGACGCGGATCGTTTTTCCCCCCCATAAATAAATTTTCTCCTAATTTCCCCCGTAAAACATCGAGTTGTATTTATGAATCATTCTACTTTCTGCCTTTAGACACTAAATTATCGCCATATTTGTCTAATGGACACAATACGGCTCATGGTTTCAGAGCAAAAGGCAGGATTTACAGTAGCGTCGGAGAGCTGCCAGAACAAAAGGTTGATTGTTAGCAACAAAGCGCCCGCCAACTGGGCACTTTACTGAAGAATTAAGTCACTCCATTCTGGATAGACTGCCTGAATCTTTGAGGAATCGCTTTCTGTAAAATCACCCTAAACAGACCCCGAAGAGGCGAAAGGTTAGACACAGATACTGGTTTCACAATGAGCTCACTTTCTTCTCTAATTGACCAGAGCTAGGAGAGCTAACTGTAGCAAAAAGATAACGTAATTCTCTTGGGACATTTTTTGTATTGAGCAAGAAAGAGAGAGGACGAATCCAGCGAACTACGCAATCAAATGATGACCGATCAAATGAAAATAACTGGGTGGTCTCTACACTCTTGTAACAAATAAACGTAAACTTACACTTTCACAACACTGTCGACGGCCGCCGCCATATTTGCTTATTGCGGTTGTGTGAAGGACCACTGCGCATGCGCAAAGACCGTTACTGCCTCCCACAATGAAAAAGAAGAAAAAAAACGAATAACCAACACTAGAGGGCGCCATCACACTCATCCGTTGTGACGAGGTCAAGAAGAAGAGAAAGAACGTAGGAAGCCACCCAACCCATAGATATCCATAATAACCCAACCCCCCTCCAGCTAAAATATGTTTTACAACTGGACAAAAATAAGCCCTCTTTAGCGTTTTATTCATCAACACAAGGTAATGATTTTAAAATCATCTGAATTGTGATGGGGATATGTTTTAGGAGTTGAAGCTAGCTAATAAACAACTGTTTTGCCTAACCGTTAAGATCGTTTTGGTTTTCTTTTACAAGTCAAATGCTATTTGTATTTATTTCAGAAACCATAAAAATATGACGTGTGCACATACAGCCGTTTTATTTGTCTGACTTTGTTAATAATGTGTCGTTAAAGTTTATGTTTTAGCTCAGCATTGGCTGTTGCTGCATTGAATCTTGTTGGACACCTGGGTTAAAAACAACCTTACTCGCCTAAAATATTTAAGAGTTAAATTAATCAAAAACAAGAGACGCCTTTACTTCAGATACATTTTTCTTGCTTAAAAATCTACAATGCCAACAGTAACAGGACATCCACTATTAAATCACAGCAGCATTTTCTTATTAAATATAGAAAAACAGACCAATTCATTTAAGAGGTGAACTAGTCTTCCTTAGTTTTCAATTCTATCATGGGTGCCATTGTGGCCAAATAATTTGTGTTGCTGTTGAATTATTACTACTGACCTTAACTTCATTGAAGCCCCATAGTCATAGAAATGGCATGTAACCTTTATCAGACTGATAGATGTAAATAAGAGTGGAAAACAGTTCTATTACATAGAACATAAATTCACAATCTTCTCTCTCAGTTAATTTTAAAGTCCAGTTTATGGATCCTAAAGGGAAATTAAATACTGTTACAGCTTATCTTTACTAACACAAGAAAATATAGATGTTGGATCTAATTGGTGAAGTGCACCTCCTACTATCATGGTGGGTGAGTTTTGGTTAGGGTGCTTTGTTTGCGTGCAGTAGTAGATTTATTAACAAGAAGCATCAAAGGAATGTTTAAAGAGAACTGATTTTCACAAAAATCATCTTCTGTAACTGCTTTATTGCATTTTAAGAGCACGCTATAATGAATGTATGTATCTTGATTGGGGAAAACAGTAGAAGTTTTTTTTGTATTACTTTTAACAGATACAAAGCACTGTGACCATAAGCAAGTATAAATTGACGGCTCAGCTGTTTTCTAACAATTTCTAGTAACAAAAAGTAACTGCTCACATTTTTCCTTCTCTTCAAAGCTGATCAGCATTATTACAGAGATGGAGGCGGCTGGAGCAGATGAGACTCCGGAAGCACTGGGGGCTTCGGCAACAGAACAGAGTCCCCCTGGACACAGTGAGACCTCTTCCAAGCCCATTAAAACTTTGCTGGAAGAAGCCGTTCAATTGAAAATGAAAGGAAATGCCTTCTACAAAGAGAAAAACATCCGCTCAGCTATTGGTTATTACCACCGTGCCCTGCTGGTACTTCGAGGCCTCGACTCCAACGTAATGGCAGCAGTGAAAGGGTTTGGACCCGAGAAACCTCCTCTTACGTCGGAGCAGGAGGCTTTGCTGAGAAACACCCAAGTGGACTGCTACAATAACCTGGCAGGTATAGAGTCATTCTAACATCTATAGCTTCTCTTGGTTTAGTGGAATGGATGTTTTTGAATTCCTTCTGTGTTTTAGCTTGTTTGCTGCAGAAACAGAAGGTTGACTATGGCCGTGTGCTGGAGTACAGCCTGCGAGTGCTGCAGTGGCAGCCAGGCAATGTCAAGGCGCTGTACCGAGCAGGAGTGGCCACTCTGGAGATGGGAGATGCTCAGACAGCCAAACAGTATCTCACCAAGGTCTGCAGACAGCAACCTAATGGTAAGAACAGAGCCGTGTCTCTGTGGTGTTTGTTCAAGCTTGTGATGGGGATGCAAAGCAGGGCAGTGGGGTGTTCAAATACATCAAAGAATCCATATTAGAGACATGCTCAGCTTTTTTCAAGGTGTAAAAAGGAAAAGCAACCATATATCATACTGGTAAAGGTCAGTTATTGGCCATAACAGCAACAACTATAATAATATTGGGTGTCGGGCCAAACTGTTAACCTTTAATTTATTCATTTTACACCCTCAAATAAAATGTATTAGATTAAAATTTACAGGATTCATCAAGCGTCCTTTTTATTTTATTTTACAAACCAAAGTTTATTCCTGGCTGCATTTTTAGGGTCGTTGTCCTGCAGAAAGGTTTTCTACAAAGAATACTTTGTTGCTTACCATTCTTCCATGAAGGTCAGATTTATGCAGTGTACAACTATAAACTTTGATTTCCGCTTTGACTTCATCTGAGCTTTAAACCTCTGCAGCTTATCTGGGGTTCCCTTCTGTCTGCTGCTGCTTTGATTGACGCTCTTTGTCTGCAGACTTATATAATTAGGTTTGCAGTCATGCATTGAATGAAGCGGAGCTCTGACAGATGTTCAAGGCTTTAGAAATTGTTTTATAATGTTATAATCAAATTTTGAGTAAAAATGCATGAAACACTTTTTAGACATGTTTTATTTGGAGATAAAATAGTTAAAAGCATATTGGTGTATCACAAAAAAAAAAAGGTTCTGTTCCATGTAACACAATATTGGAGAAAATAAAGCAAACTCTGGAAACTCTTTTGTTTGATGCTAAACTTGACTAAAGAAAATACAGTTGCACCAAATACATTTTTCCTCTCTTACAGATGCTAATGTGAGGGAGCGCCTGCAGAGGGCAGAAGAGAAGCTAAACCAAGAGCTGCAGAAAGAGAAAGCCATGTATCAGGGCATGTTTTCCTCCCGATCAAAGGACGGCCCTGCAGAGCGGGTCAACCCAGCAAACAGGGCAGGTGATGGAGTTTAAACAGGTGGCTCTATGTGCCAAATAAAACCTCAACCTCAGACCGGCTGGACCAACTGAGAGCAGAACACGCACGTTAAATCAGTAACGTTATGCGAGTTAGGAGTTTGAAGAAGCAGCAGGAATATAAAGGTCTCTGTGGATTACAGACCGCTGGGTAGCAGCTAGCAGGACAGTAAACATGTCATGGCTCAAAATAGAAAGAAGAGGACAGAACCGTTAGTTTCCTAGCAACATGGAAATGAACAGTCTTATAATCTGTGCTCATGTTAGTCAGAATGACTCTTTATGCACTACCAAAAAGCCTCTGATTGTCTCTTCACTGATATGAATGTTCGTTTTTGATTTTTTTCAGAAAAAAAAAAAGTTTCCTTTCTCTTTGTTAATAAAATAAAAAATGTCAGACACAACACGGTATTTATAAGCTTTTATTTATCATAAGCCACAAGTTATTCTTGTTCGACTCTTTACTTTTATAATTCAATAATCATTTCAAAGTCCTGAGCAAAATATCAAGTTAAAGAGTATTTGCCTGGTTCTGGTCACCATCTGGCCAATATGATTGTACTTCAGAGGCTGTATTGCCAACAATTAAGAGTTTCACATTCTCACAACAGCTATTTTCACTGAACGAGTCACAGAGCAGCATGCAGAGCGGGGAGTATGTGTGCACACATTCATTCTCATGGTTACAGGGGAGTTAGAGCATTATGCAACTAAGCTTTTTATAGCCAGTAATGAGTTAATATTCAGTATGTTGAAGCTGAGCCACAAAATCTTCCCAGAGTTTATTTATTTTAATTGGAATTTTTTTAAAGCACAAAAAAATATGTTTAAAACACAAGAGATTGTGTTTTTTTTATTCACTTTAAATAAGTATTTGGTCAATATTCACAAGCACATGAATTTTCTATCCAAATAAATGTGTTTTCACCCTCAAACGTGCAAATTAATCCTTTTAATGCAGCAGCACAACCCAAAACACACAAAAAAGAAAACCCCAACCTTTAGCTGGAGTTATCAGGTTTACATGGTTTCTGCAGGGTCCTCTGTTTAATAAAATATGTTAACTCTTTGCAAACATTTGTTTAAATTAACAAGAAGGCTTAGGCTCCCCAGAGGGGTTTAATACATTTTAAGAGAAGAATATGAGCATTTGATTAGATTTGGCTTTAAAACAGGGATTTAAATAGTTAAACCTTGAGTTCAATGTTAAGAGGCATATGATGAGAAGCTGATGAAGTTGTGTAAAAGCCTTGAAATTACCAGCCAGAGATGAAGCTTTATCTGTTGATCTGTAAGTTTGAATTACTTTGATAGGGAATAAGGTTAACTTTTTGTCCTTTCTGTAAATCCCCCTCGAATTCAGAGAATATTAAAGACATTCTTTTTAGGAAATGTTTCAAAAAGGAAAAAATTGCTGCAGGCACAATGGTCAATACTACTAAGAACTTCAAAATTAATGGAACTGAAGTCAAGGGTATTCTGTACTTAAAGTTGATCAGATCTTTTTGACTTGGAAGCTTTTATTAAAGCCACCAGGCTGCAAAGATATCTTCTGGTTGACTGAGTTAATATAACACATTTTATGTAAATGGTTGTCATTTTTTTCTACCAGCAAAAACCTTGCTCAAGTCTGAGTGATTATTATATTCTCGCTAAGAAGAACAGTATTTGGGGCGCTGTGGGCTCCACTTCCTGCTCCACTTTTGCCCGTTAACAGAGGCTATAGTCGTCAACCCTAAGACTTTTGCTGCATGTATTCCCCTCTTGTTATCTGCCCCTTTCCTGTCTGGAAACTGTGAATAAAAGCCCCTTTTGCTAAAAAAAAAAAAAAAAAAAGAGTTTGATTGTTTCTTGAGTAAAAACATTAGCCTTGGTTTGCTAAGTTTACTGAATCAATCTGGTGGGCCAAATATGTGCCATTAATGGGGGACACCCCTGCTCAAACGTTATGTTATAGAAAATGAAAATGCTCTCAAGCTGCCTTTACTAAATAAATATGCTCAACTCAAAGGTTAGGAGTTATTACACTGCTGCAATAAAAGTTTAATCCATCCTAAGACCTTTTACTCACCATCGCCAGGGGCCCAAAGTCTTTAAAAAACACTGACCTTAAATCTCCAAATTGGCTTTCACTAGGATTTTCTTACTCTTCCTTTAGTTCTCTGAGGATATCAAAGGTGGCTAAGCAATGAAATACTACCACATTGTCTCTAGAAGGAATGCTGTCAGCCATGAAGATATTTATGGCAGGTTGGAAAGACTTTGTGCCAGAAAAGATCTACCAAGTAGGTCCTAAAGGCAGTATCAGAGATCCGGTCTGTCTGATCGGTCATTGCACCTTTTAGGAAACATTGAGGTGATGCTTCCTTTTTTATCTGATGTACGGCAATAATAAGCACAACTGGTATTCTGAAGGTAACGGAAGGTTTGTTCGCTGTACAAGTGTCACTTCTTGGATGGCTTTCGTTTGAGACTCAGGGACCTCATGGAGCCGAACACTTTCCTCCCCAGATCCCTCAATGATCGGGAGCGTTGCAGGGGCATCCGTGGAGGAGGGGAGGGGGAAAACGAGGGTGAGGACAGAGGGGAGAGTGACTGGCAGCTACCCTCTAGGCTCTGAGAGCGAGAGAGGTTGAAGAGGCTGGCGGTGGAGGAAAGCCGTTTGTCCTCTTCCTTGGCTCTCAACAATCTGATGCCTTCGTCTCTGCTCGTCCCCATTCCACTCTGCGCGACATCGAAGGAGGACACCCAGTGCCCCCTCTTTGCCAGCTCCTCTCTATGGTTTGGAGGCACGAGAAGGCCTTGGGACTCACTCCTGAACAGGGCCCTCCTGGAGAGCCTGAGGCTGGAGCTGCGTCTCTCCCCGTCCTCCTTCCCCCTTGATCGAGAGAACATGGGGGAGTGATCTACTTTTGGCTTCCTGTCGGCACCACCCGAGGATCCCTTGGCTCTTCGTTGTTCTCTCCTCCAGCCTCCAATGCTTCCCCTACTGCAGCCATATCCGTACTCTGCTCTGTCCATCTCCTCCTTTTCGATCTCTGACTCTTTTCCTCTGAAGCGCCCCTCAAAGCCCCTCCAGAGCTTGCCAGACGACTTCCTGGGTGTCTGAGCACACGATCTCACCTTCTCCCCCTCCTCTGCCCAAACAGAGCTGTAGTCATCTCTCTTGGCATAGCTGCTCACGGTAGCAGCCCTAACCAACTTATGAGAGGCATGTTTTCCTCTGTAGAGGCCATCTCCCTCCAACTTTTTCCACCTGTCGCCCCCTTCACCCTCTGCCCCACTATGCCTGAGTGATCCTCCTCTAGGTTGGATTCCTCCATACTCCCTAGACGAGGTTCGGTTGTTGTGTGGCAGGGAGCACTGGAAAGGTGAATCCCGTCTGAAAACGGAGAGTGGGGTGGCCCCCATTGGGGAGGGCTTGAGGGGCCGTGGAGGAGAGTGAGCCCTTGGAGTTTGGTGTGAAGCAGGAGAGGAGGCTGTAGAGGAGGGGACATCAGATGGCGAGGGGATGTGTTGGTAGTGGCATTGTGAGGAGTAGTGAGAAGGAGGGATATGGATAGACTGGTATGGGTGTATGGGGCTGTTAGAGTGTGAGAGAGGAGGGGTGAGGCTGGACTGAGATTGAGGGGAGTGAGTAACGCTGAGGGAGAGCTGGATTGGCCTCTGGGGAGTTGCCTCCCCCAGCCTGCCGTAGTCGCAGGATGGATCCCTCTGCGGTGTCAGGTGAGCTTTACTGTGGCTCCTCACCCCACCACCAGGATCCGTTTGGAAGCAGTCTATATCCAGCTCCACTCCCTGCTCCATCAGTCCCACCACTACGGCCCGAGACAGTCCAGAGAGGCGGGAGATCTCCCCAACCATGGGGGAGTCTTCAGTCAGCTTGGGACTAGAGCAGGACTCTTGTATTAAGCTGCTGCGCTGAGATCCAGGAGCCGACCCCGTATTTGACACAAACCCTGGCTGTCCTACCTCAGGTGGCGGGCTGGTACTCCAATCTAACGAGCGACAAAAAGACGACGACCCAAACCCAGGACTGGCCCCCGCGGTCGGGGGGACTTCGAGGGAACTACGGTGGCTCAGGCTGCTTGGACAAGTCGAGATCCGAGAACGAGACCTGACCCCTGGTGTAGGGGTAGCAGAGGGCAGAGAGGTGAAAGAGGCAGCAGAACCAGTGTTCATGTCACTCTTTATGGCTCCGCAACTGCTGTTTTTGGGTGTGTCGGCGAGGCCGCGGCTCGAGTTTAACCCAGGAGCAAGGTTGAGGTTGAGGTTGAGATGTAGATTGATGCTGAGGTCTTCTCCGGTTGCAGAGGGAAGGTTACCCAGGTTGATTGAATTCCTGGTGCCCTTTTTCCCCGTAGCACTGAGGCTTACTCTGGCAGAGTTTCCCATTAGGGACTTGCAGGGTGTAACGCTGCCCACTGCCTGGGAAGAGGGCGTATTACGGCTCTCAAAGGCAGATAGAGATTGGGTGGAGCCATGACTTCTGCCAGGAGTACCCAGACTTCTTTGAGAGACTGGACCAGGAGCAGCAGTTGAAGTGAGATCAGAGGTGGAGGCATTTACACGTTTGTGGTACTGGTGGGCCAGCCGAGTGATGTACTGCTCCAGTTGGGAGACGGAGGTCAGAGCGGGAGGCTGCTGAGGCTGGAGAGGACCAGGTGCTTCAGGGTTTGCCTCCACCTCCTCGTTGTCCTGTGCTTCTTCAGAACTTGTGGAGGGTGATTGTTCTGGATTCAGGGAGGTAAAGAGGGGGCTCTGGAGGGCGACAGCGTGAAGCGGACTTGGATAAGAGTAGACATCTTTGGTTCGACGAGACACCAGGTCTGTGCAATAGCAGGGGTCCAACTGGGGCTTTAATTGCACAGAGGTGGGGGATGAAGAGGGATTGAGAAGAGGGATGATGAAGGAAACCAGGGAGTCACCAACCACTGTGCAAAGATCTGACAGAAAGCTGAAACCAGAGGCGTTGTGGTCTTCTGCAACTGTAAGGAAAAGAAGGAAAACATTCAGAAACATTTATCAATCCATTAACGGTCCTAAGATTGTAACTTGTGTTTAGTGCTTTTTCATTTTGCCAAATTCCAAGATACTTCTGTGTAGTTAAATGGGATTTTATGTGACATAAGTCTTTAATACCCACACTTTCCTCTGACACTCCTGAATAAAATCATTCCAACCCGTTTACTTCAGACAATTCCAGAAAAGATAGAATTCACGTGTCTAATCAGTGTAAATCCAACTGATCTAAAGGCCCATAATGTGTGCCGCACGTCACAGAAACAGCAAGCATATAAAAGAAGGTCCTCTGAAGAGACTCGATGAAGAAGAGGAGCAAGTAAAAGAAGGGCAGGCCTTCTCAGTATGATAGAAGGGAAAAATATAGAGACAGAAAGGACAAGAGATGCTGATGTTTAAACAGAAAGGTCACTACATTTGCTACGTTCATTTTGAATGCGGTTTTAAACACGTCTCTAAAATCACCAATTTCTTTCCTTTAAAAGGTTTTCGGTCAGTTGGATTTCCTATAGGCTGGATTCTTTGTCAGTAGCCATTTTAGATTTGTGGAAGACTTTGTATTTCTGTCCCTCTTTCCTCCTGATCGACCTCTGTCGTCAATGCAAATGTGGGAATATGTCCATTTTGAAGCCAAAAATGTTTCATTTTTAATTCGGTGGGATGTTGAGGGATTAAGATGGACTCCGTGGAGCTAAAAGGAGCTTCATCCTATAATAGCATGGCTGTTTTTTATTATGGTAGGAACAATTATTTAGATTCTTTTTAAGTCATTGCAACTTGGCTGTTAATCGTCATTGACATTGTTTGGAATCTCGTTTTTTTTTTTTTTTTTTTTTTTTACTTAATGATCTGCTCCAAATAAAAGTGAGGTTAAAACAGAAAAAGAGAAAGATAGAAGGTGCTCTGGAGAGTTGCACCCAAATATAAACTTTCTTGGCTTCTTGCAAATCTTCATAAGAAGCAAAACAAACCCCGCACATCAACCTGAATACGGCATCTCCACAGAGAAACATGCAGGTGGCAGCCTCATGATTTAGGAGGAACAGGAAAGCTGGGTCATATTTTCATATTTATATTTTCTCAAAATTCCTTTATCTTTTTTTTTTTCCCATAAGAAAGGTCTCGGGCAACAATACTTTTCCCAGTTTCTGTTAAAGTTTACCTGGATCATCTGAAGCTGGAGCATTTGATTCTTCTATTGCTTCAGCATCCTCTTGGCCATTTTCTGCAGAAGGTTGCTGTTGCTGCACTGCGCCTACTGACCACAGGATGTCAGTGCTGTCTGCAGAAGCAGGAACCTGCTCCCATGGCTTTGGGGGTCTGGCAGGGGTCAGCGGCCCTACATGGGCGACTTCACTGGACACAGAGTAGCAGGAGTCTGACAGGGAGCTCCCACTGACTGAGTAGAAACCTTAAACATAGAAGGATAAATCACTTTACCTTTGTAAATAGTAACCAAGGCAGCTACTGAGTAAATAGAGATTATCAATAGAAACTCAAACTGTAATAAAATTCCAGCAGAAGGGTGTGCAGCGGTTCTTTAAGAAGCTGCTACCAGTGTTTATGACTTCTTAAAGGTCCAGAGGACAGAAAACGGCAGAACACTTCAACAAAGACACTCTTATCAGCAAAGAAAGTAGAAACTCAACAAATCTGGGCCAAGTCACACAAAGTTCAAGTAAATGAGCGTGAAAAAGATTGTGGTTAATGTTTAACGGAAAACCTCTCATTTATATTAGAAGGTGACAAACTCTTTGTCATTATCTCCCACTTGGGCGACCAACAACGTGTGTTTTTTGGGCGTGTGTTTACCTGAACTAGGTCTGGAATCGCTATCAAGGTGGACCATGCCTCCAGAGTCCGGAGTTGGAGGGGATAGCAGGTCGGAGGAGGCGTCCCAGGAAAGAGTGGACCACCTGGAGTTACCCCCCCTGCCAGAAGAGGACTGGACGGTCACATCCCCCGAGTTACTGACACACTCCTCTGGACTGATCTGACAGGCAGAGCCTATTGTGTTGGAGGGGGAGGCAGCCTGAAAAAGTAAAAACACAAAATGGGATTAGTTGCTTTGAAGGAACCAGGCTGTCTAATCTTCTAAAGTGGTCCTGATCAATAGTAGTTCAGGCTTTCTGGTAGCATTTCAAAGTTTTCTAATACTTATTTCTTCTGCTTTTTTCACTCATTTTCTGACCTTGACAGCACACTATAGAACTAGAGCTCAGATAATTGAAGAAAACCCAGAAACAGAGGGCAAAACCTCAGAAAGATTCTAACTTAATTTTACACATGGCATATAAGAGGTTTATTCTATTTAAAAAATGGTTCGGTTTGCTTTTACCCCATGTTTTAGATACAAGACATGACCTAAAAAATTTCCACATTCACTTCTGGAGCCACTTTTCCATTAAGTTGAGAAACACAATAACATTCAGAACCAACTTAAACAGAAACGCTGTCCAAATACACTTAATTATCAGATCTAGCTGTGTGAAGTTTTTGTAGTTCTCTTTATCAGCATCTTACATCATTGGATGTGTCTTTTTCTCAGTAAAACTGGTTTAAACTTGTCCCTGTTTAGCAGCCTCCCCCCTACACACACAAAGAGTCATCTCTCTATGAAGAAATAAGGAATCGCATTTTCCCACAGTGCCCCAAACCTCAAATACAATCCACTAATGAGTTAAATAAAATACAAATAGGACATGATAAAGTGACAAAAAGAGGTGCATAATTTTAATCAGACCCATTTAGGAGCAAATGAAAATGCATCAGTGAAAGAAGATATAGAAGACTCTCTGGTCAGATGAGACAAAATTGAGATGTTCTGTTAAATATAAAACATTAGACATGATAGTAATCTAACACTGAATATTTATCTGAGAATGTTCAATTAATAATGCAGCAGTTTGGAGTTTGTGGGGAGACAGATGGGGCTAAATGCAGAGCAGTAATGGAAGAAAAACCAGCTGGATGATGCAAAATACTTAATTTTGGGTCTGAGGTTGAGTCTACAGCAGGGCAGCAAAGCTGAGCTTGGAGCAGGGATGCAATGAATAATCAGATCAAAGCCCACCCGTGTACTAGAATGGCCTAGTCAAAGCCCAGATCTAAGTCCAACTGAAAACCTGTGACGAGACTTTATGGGTGCTCTCTGGTCAGTCTGAATGAGCTTTTTTGCATAGAAGAGAGCACAAAAGTCTTGAAGCTGTAACAAAAATGTTTGATGCAACTTTTTCAGTTCTTGTAAAAAAAAAAATTAGAACCCACATACTTTTTTCATTTCATTTAATAGTTATTATAGGTTGTTGGAAGAAAATAAATTTAGAAACAATCAGGAAACAGTTAGGAACAGAAAATATAGGACATTTTAGTCTTTGATGCATCAGAAAATAGGTTCGACCATGCTATGTTTAGATGACACCCTACCCCCGTACTTTACAAACTCAAACTGCTCATCTTCTACAGATCATGTATGACCACGTCCCTGATGATGTCACTCCACTCGCAACAAGTAGGAACAACAGCTGTGAGGTTAGCAAAGTGCCTCCATTTATCAGATTAGTAATAGCTCACTAGAGTAAACCCCTCCCCAGCAGTTCCCCTCCAAATCCCCAACCCATCCCTCCAGGAGACCAGTCAGGAGCGCCGGGATGAGTCCGACCGGGCCCAAACAACAGGAACACTGTGAGTGGTTACTGAGGAAACAATACAGGTAGTGACTCACTGCTGGGGTGACAGCAGAGGAGGGGTGGGTGGGGGGGTTCGGAGGATAATAGGAGAGGACAGATGATGTAACAAAGAGCATTCGGAGGGGCAGAAGGGGAGGAGTAGGAGACGGACCGGAAAAAGTGGGTGAAAGAATGTCCAACTCTGCTCCCGCTCTGATCACTCTGCGATCATGTCCCATATTCTGTTTTTTTTCTTTTTCCTGTCAGTTGTGGGTGACTAAATGGAGTTTGAGGAATATTTTAAAAAAAGACAGACGAATAAGAGAGTGAGTCACTGAGTGAGTGAAGGCAATGGAGGGAGGGAAGGAGCGGTTGCCGGGCGAGGAGAGAAGGGCATCTTGAAGGACCCTCACCTCCCCCACGCTCCCTTCGACAAATAATCCCCTCCGCTACCACCACCACCGTCTTACCCACTTCTGTAATATCCTCAGAGCCCGCTGCCCCCCTACTCTCCATAGCTACAGCTCTCTAACTCTTGCTCGCTTGTCCTCCCACACAGACTCTGGCCTGCACAACAAGCCGGGCCAAATATTTAACTCATCCTCAGCCTGGATTCATGCATTCCCAATCGGTGCCATGAAAGCACATCTCAACCTGCGTTTTGCTTCGCTTGAACTCAACTTTTCTATTTCTGTCAGTTTAGTGATGTAACCCGTTAAATGCCGAAACATCCACAAAAACCCATCTCCACATTGCCCGCTGACATCATAATGCATTGCATATTACAGGGTATATTCTTACACAGTGATCAAATTATAAGATGCAGACAGCAGAGGGGTGGGGGGGTTGCTTGGAGCTCTGTAATATGATATTGCTTCATGTTAGGAAGGAGCAGAGCTTCCCTTTGGAGCAATTTGCAGAAAATGTGCGGGTCGATTGGACATTAAGGCAGCTGCAGATGCGATGTACCTCTTAACAGGTGGATGACGTCACCAGCAGCACTGGATGAAGAATGATCACAGTGATGATAATGCCATCCAAGGATGGAGCTGTTTTTTTTTTTTTTTCTTTTTGGTCAGAAGGATCTGCAACTTCCACACAGTGCCTAATTTATCGTTTCATGCATTATTAATGCTGGATTGGAATATGAAGATGGCCTACGCTTAGTATTCTATATTTTGGGCTGCAGACAGAGAACCTGCAGCATTTCATACTTCTATGAGCTGCAGAGAGAGAAGCCCTGAGGCAAAAAAGGAAAAATGAAAGAGACAAAAGAAGTCTCACTCCACAAGTCAGGGTAATGGACCTCAGTGTAAGGGGATGCTTTAAAATCCCTGGTATTAGGATTTAAAAAAAAAACTGCAGTAGAGACGGACAGAACACCCCAGAAACGTCCTTATAGGGCTTTATTGCACAATTCTGCCTATAACCTTCCTTTTGTCTTGGCTAAATTATGGATGTTAAGTCAATAAAACTTTAAAAAATATGGCATCAAAATTGTTTGCTATTCTGTTTATTACAACTTTAAAAAATCAACAGAAAAACTTGACCAAAAATAGGAAAGGACCTGATTTTATTTACAATAATTTCTGAGTGCAAAGTTGAAACCAGGCAAGCACAAGGCAGCCGAATGTGTTCCTAATGTGGAAAGCTCAAGCATCGCTAAGCAATAGACAGGCCTTACCATGAGGATTATAAGCTGGTTTAACCAGGAAGAAGGATAATCAGGAGAAATTAGCTCTCTGTGCCAGAAGCTGGAAACCCTAACAGTCCGACATTCTAACTGGTCTGGAAAATAATCAGAAACAATATAAAATCCCAATAGAATTTTCTTTAATGAAGGTGATATTACATTTAGTCTATGATTAGAGCATTTTTCTCAAGAAATAAAATGTGATTTAAGTTTTGTTTAAATGTTAGTGTTTTGAACTGAAGTTCTGGCAACATTAAGCCAGATATTATTATTTCTGTTGCAGTTCTGACCAGTATTTCTGTTCTATATGCACAGGCAGAGACAGGATTTCTCCCACTTCTAACACATGGTGCGTACCTCTCAAAACGGTGTTCCTGCATGCTATTTAAACTCTAACGGCAAATGAAATTAGATTTGATACAATAACTCTTTAATTCCTCCTGGGAGACAAAGCAAAATACTGAGTTATTATCATTGATTGATCTGAATCCAACCAGCAGTATATGGATGCCAACTGATGTTTTGTTATAAAATGCTCACAAACAACACCTCGTCACCATAATGCCATCCATCAGATTTAGATTTTTGCTTGCTTTAAAACCTTCATTTTATTTCCACAAGAAAAGGTTTTCCATAAGAGGCTATTTCTGATGAGGCAGAGAATGTTTGCCTTCCTCACTTTCAGAAATCTAACCAACTTTTCCTGCGTTAAAGTATAGCGTTTTGCGTTTACAGTGAAAGGCAGGCATGCTGCACTATGTCATCATCCAAATAATGCTATTTCATTTTTAAAGAGGCCTAACTGAAATTATTTTCCCTTTAAAATAAGATAACTTCTTATAGGTTATGATTTCCCTTTACTCCATGGAGATGAAGAAACCGTCCACAGCATGTTCCTTTCATCTCTGTGTCATCTTTTGAGGGAACACTTATTTTTGTACACAGAACAGCAACAATGAGAGTCCAAGTTGGCCTTTACGCCCGTTTCAAAGGCGAGAAGAGTTGCACACAAGTTATTTTTTTAAGCTGGTATCAAATGAGAAAATAAATCAATGCATAAAAATAGGTTAAAGTCGCAAAGCAGACATTTACTGTATTCAATCAGTTTTTTTGTTTTTCTTTCTTCGTTCTTTTTGGAATAAAACATTTTTAAAATGAAGGAAATCGATAAATTACAACATACAGTAAACAAAAGGGAGAACTTTTGCTGCACTTCAACTCTACATTTTCCCTAGAGTTATTTTTCTTTGTCAACAAATTTTGATCCTTTTGCAGAATTGTGCAGTTTTTGTTCCCCTATATGCAAACCTTGGAAATGTAGAAACATGGCCTACCAAGGGCAAAGGGCAGAGAGCCAGCCAGCCCCCCTACAGAGGTGAGAATGAGTTCTGCTGCCAGCTCCCCCACAGGATCTCTCTGCACCACGAGTGGCGAAGAAGAGTCAGGGTGGGGGGGCGCCAACATGGAAGATGTTGGCTGGTGGGTGGTGAGGAAGGACACAAGCCTCTATCCACATACCCACTCTCAGATCACAGTTTTTGTCCTTGCACTGCTCAGAAATCAGGCTTCAAGTCCTTCCTCTGTACTGCAGACTGTTTACAGATATGATTTCATCTTAATAAAGTCGACATAAGCAGCACTCTGCAGAGATCTCAGCTCTAGCCTTGCTTGCATGTATCAGTATTCTGCAGGCTACTGACTCATGTGACTCACAGCGTAATAACAGTTTGTTCAAAGTGACCGTGATGAAGTATCAGCTCCTTGGAGTAACGGTGAGCTGTTATTTATTGAAGCCACCGGCGGCCGGTTTCATATCTTAAAAGAGAAACCTGTAAACACAGCATGGAGCGGTAATGTCATTGCTTTGTCAGATGTGGAGATAATCCAGGGATAATCCATGACGAACTGATCCACCACATCCACCTGCAGCATTATTGCATCTCTCTAAGGATGCAGCTCTGTTCGTTCCTGATGGGGAACTTTGGTATTAACAGGAATATTCCTGCACGGATGTCATATTCACATTTTTGTCTGCCTTTAAATCTAATGTCACAAATGGCAGAAAAAAAGGTGCATTTTCATTACTGATTAATCTGCTTAAGCTGTGATTTAAAACGATTGGAATTCTGCTTAAAATGCATCCTGGGAATCAATCGATTGCTGGAAACAATCCAGAGGTTTTACCACAAGAGGCTAGTTTAGCAGCACAGTGATATTCTTTCTGTGAATTCAAAGTCAAGTCAAGATGTTTAGGTTTAAAAGTAGAATATTACAGCAGAAAAAGGCAAATGCATTCAATAACAAGGTGGTTAATTAACTTTAGTAGTTTTTAAAAATTGGTTACTGGCAAAAAAAAAAAAAAACAACTTTAAATCTGTTGTTTTCTTTAATAAACCCTTTGATCCACAAAATATGAAGAACATATGCAATTGTAAGAGCTGCACCTAACCCACATGTTTCTCATTTATCCGTTTCTTTTCAGTTATCACCGTGTTCCCATCGCTGCCCATGACCTTTAGCATCACAGTCAGTTAAATCTATATCAAGTGTGGGCATACGCCGCAGTGAAAGGCCATCCAACGGGCCAAATGCATTATTAGCATGCAGAGTGGGAATGCATGGCCTTTGTAATATAAATAGCTGAACAGATATCCATCCAAGCTTTCCTTCTGATTGCAAGCAAACACAAACTGATATTATAATTGGTTCAAATGCAGCTTTCAATATTAAGCATTTATTATTATTAATTTAGAATAATTAAATACATTAAGGTGTATGACATGACACTAATAAATCAATCTCCAACCAAGCGTTTAGATTTTTAAGCACATTTTTAACATTTTATTTACTACAACTAGTAAAAAAAAAATCCATCTTTATCTTTCCATCATCAAAAGTTTTGATGTCTGTGTGGTTTTAAGCTAGGATTTATCTTACATAAACAATAAACACTAAGACAGCTTTAATATTAGTACGGTACGGACAGATCCAGTATTTCTATATTACACATTTTCATTCAAGTCATTCAAGTTTAAGATTTTGTTTTTGTTGTGTTTCTTTTTTTTGTTTTACCACATTTTAATTGTTAAAGCAACAATAACATAGAAGTAAACATGGATCAACATTTTTAATTCCTACTCAGAAAATCCTTAGATAAAACCAAGTGCAACCGATTGCCTTGAGAAGTCACCCAAATATCGAGTCCATGTGAGGGTGTGACTATCTCTGCCTAAATCCAGCAGCTCTATGAAGTTTCCAAAGTTTTAACCAATCAGAAGCATCATCGCCACCAAAGGAAGCAGCGAACAGGTCAGGGAGAATAATATGGATGACTTAAAAGCAACGTTTGGATATAAATTCCCTGCTTACATATATATTCCACACTTTTAATATCTCACTGAGCAAAATTCAATCAGTCATCTGAAAATGGAAGTGGCACAACTGCCCACCTAACCAGACACTGATGCCCTTTTCCTGGCAGTATGCAAAATATGTGTGCAAAAAACTATAAAACTATTGCATTTCCCCACGCTAAAACATGTAGGAGGCTACATCATGCTGTGGGGATACATTTTTCTCAGCAAGAACAGATAAGCTCCCATGCAAGTGGACAGATGAAGAAGAATGAGGCCACAGTTGAACATTTTAGGTGTGCAAAGAAACCATTACACTTGCTAAACACACAATCCCCATGGAAGTGGCAGAATCATGATGTGGGGATTTTTTTTTTTTTTGAGAAGTCAGAGGGATGGATGGAGCTAAATGAAGGGCCTCCCAGAAGGAAACCCTTTTAGAGGCAGTAATACTAACAGGGCAGGGATTTCCCTTCCACCAGAATGACCCAAACAGCTCAAACTGCTGAGGAATGCTGCTGATTTATATACACATTAAACATTTCTAGAAACATTTCAAGAAAAGGTGTTAATTCCCAGGACTGAACCTAAACACTCTAGCTTTAGAATCTATACAAGAGGCAGACCATAACCCATATCTAGAATATTTGGAATGTGTTCAAACTCATTATAAACAGATGTTGCTATCCAATCTAACATAGTTTAAGTTTTTTATTTTTATGCAAAAAACAAAAAACAGCTCTATAAATGCACAGCACATTCAGTTCAATTCAGTATATTTCTATAGCACCAATTCACAACACATGCCATTTCAAGGCACTTTACAGTTCACCAGATCATACAGTCAAATTGATTCAAAGTTTTCTATCTAAGGAAAACCAGTTGATTGCATTGACTCATTGACTCGAATGCAATCCCTCACACTAAGCATGCTTGTAGCGACAGTGGAGAGGAAAAACTCCCTTTTAACAGTAAGAAACCTCCAGCAGAACCAGGCTCAGTGTGAGCGGCCATCTGCCGAGGCCGCCTGGGGTTCAAGGAGACAGAAGCCTAGATACAAAAACCAGCTGTAAAAGGCGGCCCCGTCCATCCAGCCAGTCACAGTCAGAGAAACAGGACTACACTGGAAAACAGGCAGATCTCCAACATCTATAAACAACAGTTTTGAAGCAAATTTAAGGAGAATTTAGAGAACCTAACTGTAATGTTTTTGGACTGTGGGAGGAAGCCAGAGTACCCGAAGAGAACCCATGCATAAACAGGGAGAAAATGCAAACTTCATTCAGAAAGACCCAGGTCCATCACTAAGAAAAACCCAAGAAATACTTTGATGGTTTTCTTAAAATATAAGGGTATTAGATTTATAAATGACTGGACATGCTTTAAAAATCCCATGATCTAATAATTGTAGATTGATGGATCAGATCCCTTTAGTCCGGGTAGAACCAAGGGGTCTGATTTCTATAATCCTGACCTTGAATCAGAACCAGCTCTTGGTTCTGCTCCCTCTGACCTAAATGACATTTGTTCCATGTGATTGAGATAACCAGATTCCAGGCTTTGCTGATCTGGGTCTGATGAGCCGCAGGCGCAGCCTGGCAGATCACCACCAGCTCCCATTCACATTTTATAAGCCCGTCATGTTGATATCGGGGCTACCAGCTGACAGGCGCGCTGACTGACCTGTTGCCTGCGGGATGTCGCAGAGCCACCCTCGGTATCAGAGGCGGTGCTCTCCGCCTCCCCGGCCGATCGCTCCCTCAGCGCGGCGTCCACCATCTCCAGGTGTTTGCGCCGCAGCACCTCCAGCTCCAGCACCCCTGCAAGCGTCGCTTTGAGCCGCTCTCCGATGCGGACCCGCTCGGTGCCGGACCACAGAGAGTTCACGCAGCTGCGGCGGGCGGCCATCCTGGCTGCGGATCCGGGGCGCAGATCCAGCTGCAGCACCGCAGGAATGAGGGGGGGTGATGGAGCGGGATAAGGGTGCAGCTCCGGGAACAGTCCGGAGTGCTTTAATTAATGGAAGCACTGTCCATCGGAGCGGCTCTGCGCCTTAAAGCAGCGGATCCAAACCTTCACATCGGTCCCTGGATTGACTTTCCTCTGACATCCATCCGTTTCTCAGTCAGCGCGTTAAACTCGAGCTCTGCGCCCCAATGAGACAATGCAACAGACGGTAACATACATGTGGGAGCAGGCGGCGGAGGGGAGGAGCCTCTGATCCGGACCTGCGCGCTCATTGGCTGATTGGCAGATTCGAACGGACGCATGTCCAGAACTCCCTGCTGCATCACCGGCCCCAACTGGTTCCAAGTTATTTCTATTCAAACCTTTTTATTCACTTTCTTCAATTTAATATCATGTTTGATCAACGTTGCAGCTGAAAACTAGCTGTTCTAGACAGGGTTCAACAGGAGCCAGTGGCCCTGTCAAAGGCGGTTCTACACCAAGGGGGCCAGGAGGGGGCCAGGGTGTTTTCATGGGGGCCCAGAAAAGCATGCTATGAAAAACAGGGCAAGGGATTCAAATATATCAAGAGAGCTGCATGACATCAAATTTATATTCAAGTAGGTTTAATTAAAATTCTATGTCTTATTAGGTCAATATACATTCAGAATTTAGGAATTTTACATATTTTTAATTTAAGTTAAAATTACCATTTTCTGTAAAATCTGAATTAGGACTGAAGAAAAAACTGATAACTTCAGCTGTACAAAATTTGATAAATTATTTTTGTTTTAAAAAAAAACTTTATCAGATGAAAACTTGGATCCTATCTCAATACCACTGAAGCTATCGCCTGCTGTTTTTAAATAATTAGAAAAACAGAATTTGTAAAGGAAAAAAATGAAATAGATCCAAAGGACCTATCAGTACCTATGTCTGTTCCAGCGCAGATCATGATTAGAATTTCTTTGAGTATTATGTCTTCAGGACAGGGGCTATAACAGGGTCCAGGACATGATCTACAGGGGCACTGGCCCCTGTCTAGAACCGCCCATGGGCCCTGTTGAACTGGACCGGCCCCTGTTATGGCCCCTTTACCACGGGCAGTTCTAGACAGGGGCCAAAGTTCTGTTCTCAGAGGCCTTTGTGAAAACATTAGAGGAAGAAACACAATAAAATGTGCCCAACCTTAAAGCAGAGTTAGTTTTCTAAATTAAGCTTTTGACTTTCCATGCAGTACTGGTCCACCCTTCAGCTGCAGATGGAGAACAGAACAGCTGTACCTCTCGTCTACTAAGACATGGCCACCTAACCTGACATGCTTTACATAGAGATCATTAATCATAAAGCAACTGGTAACTCTGGAGGACCAGCAGAGATCCATAGCTCAGGTGGGAGGATTTATTGACAGGGCAACTTATAAAGTTTACAAATCTGAGAACATCATTACTGAAAGGTTGCAGCCAGTCTTTTAAAAAGATACTTCTTTGGTCAAATCAAGCTGAACTCTTTGGCTTATAGGAATTATAACAGAATTATTGACAGATTTTATTGCCTTAATACTGGCCATGAAAAACAAACTTTATTCAGAATCAATTATTGTAATAATCACCAACTAATTTAGCAATCAATTAATCCTAACTCGAAGAGAGTCTAAAACATGCTTTTAGCTGACAAAGCAACCCACTTAGATCTGTAATTATACCATTACTGTACAAAAAAAAAAAAAAAACATATAAACATTTTACATTTAAGATAACAAAAATTATCAATACATTAAACAATTAGCAAAATGATCTTTAACTGCAGCCATAGAAGTGAGCAGAAATGCTGCCACAGACTCCTTTAATAAGTTTCTCCTCACACTACTGCCCTCTAGCGGTCAATGCTGGACAAACAATCACAAAGTTCCTGATCATATTCTACATATTTAAATTTTTTCAACAGCATATTTTTATTTTATTGCCAACCGAATATTATACTTTCTATATCAGTAGTGAATACATTTAAAGCTCCCTTTATTATCCTTTATTAGCCAGAAAATAAAGCATAACTTTTTTTCAATGGAGCTCTTCTTTTTTCCTATGTTCTTCCCCGACTCTTTCTTTTCTCCTTTTTTATGTTTTATTATCCAAAGTCATTCTTTTAAAATAAATGTACCCACAGCTGATAAAACTGAATAAGCTAAAATAGAATAAAAACAGAAATGCAGATGCGACCTATTGTTGATGGAAAACAGACACAACTCAGTGGATGGATGGATGGATGGATGGATGGATGGATGGATGGATGGATGGATGGATGGATGGATGGATGGATGGATGGATGGATGGATGGATATGAGAGAAGAAAATTCTTTGAAAGGGAAAGAAAATCTCTGATTTGATTTTTATCAAAAAGAAAATTAATGTGCACAAATAAGGAATAGTTGCATTAACCATACATGTAAACATAGTTTTATGGGGCCCCCAGGAACATGGGGCCCTGGGCAGCTGCCAAGTATTACCTAATGATAAATCCCCCCATTAGTTAATTGCAATATGAACTAAGAAACAAAATAAAGTTAAAAAGAAAGAAAAAGAAAAATAATCAATAACATTTCTATATAATTTCAATTGAAATTTGTTTTTTGTTTTTTTTTTTACAAATAAAAAGATATAAATAGATTAATAAACTAATAGCAATAATTGCAGCTGGTGCTCTCTGGTCTCCATACATTATTGAAGGAAGCTTAAAATATTCAACATTTCATGATAATTAATTATTTTAGATAAAAAAAAAATCTGATTAGATTTTTCTAAGCATAACAACACTTTAACGTGAATTCAATTATTTTCTATTAACATTGCTCCAATGTGTGAGTCAGAAATAAAATAAATCAACATAAAATGCTACGTTGTTTGGCATTTCAACCAGCAAGGGGCGGTGTTTATCCATAAATGCTCATCAGATCACAGCAGATGCTCTCCTATGTTTGCAGGGCAGCTCTCTAACAGGGGACCATCTTTGACTCAGGGGGTCTTGGAGCCAGGAGTTGCTGGTTCTCTGTGGGATCACTGTTGGGCCCTGGACTGATCCCCTGCTTCAGGGGCTGTGTTTATAATTTGGGAGTTGGTTACATCTCCCATAGTGAAACACTGAAAAAAGTAAGAAAAATAACTAAAGGCTGCTAACTCACATAACCCCAGTTCTTTGATAACAGAGTGAAGTGTTTCACCTGCACTGCCCTTCTTGCAAAGATGGTAGAATGATTGTAGGAGGACCTTGCCAACTGTACCAGTATCAGGGTGTGGGCCCTAGGTGTAGCATTGTTTGTCAGGGACAGACTTTGTGCATGTTGAGCTTCCATAGTTGGTCTTACATAGGCGATTGCCATAGTGACATAGTGAAACACTAAACAAAGTTAGAAACATAACTCAGTTTGTATATATTGAGAATATTAAAATGTAACTCTGGAGAAGCTGCAAAGACCTAGGCGCATATATACGGTATATATATATATATATATATATATATATATATATATGTAGGTAGGTAGGACATGTTACTATCATATCTGAATGAGAAGAACCCATTATTTGATCTCAACCACACCTGTCATCAAATAGTTAGCCAATCAGGTGACATTTACCAAAAAATGTGTGACATCACGTTGCCATGCAATACTTTCAGCTTCATTACCTTGAAAAATATTTTTATGGTGAGGGATTTTTATTTTAAGTAAGTTGAAATTAACAGTGTCAAACCTAAAATACTCGTTTATAATTGGAGCAACAGAAAATTTGAATTTACCTGATTGACAGGGATAGTTAATTTCTTTCATTTCAGAGCTGCAGCAGCTCTCTGGTCTCTATCAAAGGATAAACTGTTGCTCTGTTTTTTGCTCTGATCTTTTTTTTTCTGGTTCCCCATGAAAAAATTAGTGCCCCCTCCCTCACCCCCCCGGTGGATTTGTTAGTTATTGTGATTTTGGGTCTTCATTCTCCATGTGCCTGGAAAGCATTTGTCAAGTGTCAAGCAGATGTGAGAGAACTTCGTAGCAGGATGATGTGAATCTCAACCACCCCTATGACCTCACCTCATCCAGCAGGAGAAGGAGCGTCTCTGGACTCCTCCCGGCTATTCCTCTATAAAACCCCAGCAGTCACTGCAGCTCACCGAGGTTTGCTTACTTCCAACCGAGGGGACTTCACCCTGGTGCCTCCATCACTATTGGCCTTTCCAAAACTCCCCAAACATGGCTCCTTTTGAGAAATCCATGGAGATGATGCCCTTCAAGCAGAGGAAATGCCTCGGTAAGACTTTCTGAAATCTGCTACTCTGGTCTGTTTCCTCCATCTCTGCCTTCACTGCTTAGATGATGCTTTAAATAAAATCCTTCCTTTTTTGTGTTCAGCAACGAGAAAAGATGAGGTGTGCAATATTCGCTCTAAATTCCCCAACAAATTGCCTGTAAGTTTTACATTTTCTTCATATTTCTTATATAAATTCATGCTGATTGGGTTTTGTTTATAACTAGTAATTTCTAACTGCTGTTTCTTTGCAATCAGGTGATTGTTGAGCGTTACGTCAGGGAGAAGAACCTCCCTCTGCTGGACAAAACCAAGTTTTTAGTTCCCTTTGAGCTTACTTTGGGTCAGTTCCTCTGTCTTCTCAGGTAAATCTCCTCCTCTCCTCTCAGACGCCTTCAGCAACTGGCCCCTCTGACCTTTTTGTTTCTCTCCTCAGGAATAAGATCGCTCTGGACCAGACACAGACTCTGTTCCTCCTGGTTGGGGGGAAGAGCATGTCCTGCATGTCCTCCAGCATGGGGGAGATCTATTCCCACTTTAGAGATTCTGACGGCTTCCTGTACATCACCTACGCATCACAGGAAGTGTTTGGAGCTCCTCAGTCTACAGACAAGCCGCCTCGCTGAGAGAGAAAGTGAAAAAATGAACTGAAAAAAGACAAAGTGAACTAAAGGAGACATCTGCCTACCTCAAGAAACAGCTTTGGGCTTTCAAAGACCTGATGTCCAGCCTCCTCACTGCTGACAATACAGGGCAGCGTGTGCCCTGATGAAGACTCCACAGACTTGTTTACAGTTTTTATTTCTATCCATCTCCAATTTTAATAAAATTTGTGTTCTTTTTTCAGTTTTTTTTTTCTGTTGAAAGCTGAATGTATGATCTTGAATTCTCCACATCGCTGCAAGTTTAGCACATTATGAATCCACCAATCTTCAGCTGATTATTAACGTTTTTATCCTTATTGGCACTTATTTCATGTATATATTCCTTTATTATTTAAAAAGAAACCTCACCAGCTTCCAGTAAAGAATGTGAACTCCTCCCACAGACTCAGTATTAAACAGAGAAGTGCTGTTAGATGTCTGGCTGTTCTTTTCTGATGTGTTCTGGGTCCAAAGTAGCAAAAAAGATTTCTTCTTCTTATTTAATCTTATGTATTAGTATTGCTATCCCTACGTTTTTTTCCCCTGTTGAACTTCACATAATTCCTGATTTTAGTACATTTTATTATAAGAATAACCAAAACAAAAAAGGGGGGAAAAAAATCTTTAGTTGTGAAACAACTAAAATTGAAATGAGAAATGTTTGCAGATCCAAACAATAACCTTGAATGCACATGAAAAGTATTAGTTTAACATTGGTGTGTAAAACCTTTAGATAAGAAAAATCAGGGTTTATTTGCTGCACCTGATTTTATTTTCTTTAGGCCTGATCTGCAAGTAAAATTTTTGCATCACATGGCAGAGAAAAGTTGTTCTTCAGATTATTTGATGGTGAAAACGCTTTGGCTTAACAGAAAATTATAGATTTAGAAGATAACGTGCATCTAGAAGCATTTAAACCTTGTTGCTAAGGTGTTTAAGGATAAAATATAAAATAATTTTCAGTTTGCGATAAACACATCAAACAAACAGCTCAGTTCGGTTTCACCATAAAAGCTTGAATGATCAATACTGTATATTACATTGTTGAAGGAGAATAAGGGACCTTGATTAGAGAGTATTAATTTGAAAATTAGTTTACACATAAAAAAAACTTTGGATTTCTGGCTGAGACCAAAATATTGGTGTATAATTTACTGGATTTTTAAACAGTTTATGATTTAGGACCTTTAATAAAAACTAGCCCCACAATATCACAGATAATCTATTGTACCTAACTGACTGACAGTAAAACCAAAAAATTATTACACGCTTGATTTGATGTACAAATCTAAAAGGAAAAAAGTTGTGTTGCATTTAGAAGTGTTAGCGTTACAGCATTAAGGAGCTCCTGGGTTTTTCCTCCACCCTTAAAAAGCAACCAGTACAGTAGATCCTTAAACATGCAGCATATAATAGGGAATAAAAACTACGTATTCAGTCAGTGAGGAGTACAGGTATGGAAAATGGAGTACTATTATAACAAAGCTGACTGAACTGAAAAAAAACAACAAAAAACAAAATAGGCATGTAATGACTTTGTATATTAAACAGACGCAGATAGTTTAAGGGAACAAAAGCGGGACTGCAGGATACTGTATATAGAGATATAATGCATGTTTCCTGCAAGGACACTTTTACAACCACATGATGTCATTACACAAGGGAACCAGGATCTTCTCAAACGTGAAATAAAAGCATTAATTCCTAACAAATCAGATAAAACTGGATTAAAAGGCTTAATTCCTGTACCTGCTTAGTTAAGAAACAAAGAGCGATATAATAAGACAGATGCAACACAGAAAAAAATCTCATTAGGAAAATAAGTTTTAATAACTGATCCAACAAACTGCATTATGTAGGACATAAAGGGTTATTATCATATTTTTCCACTCTTTATGTAAACTAAGAATTAATTTGGTTCGCATAGAGAGAACTGATGGCGTCTAAACCCCAAGGAAACATTTTAGTGCTTCAAGTTAAATAAAAGGCATTTAAAAAAAACTGCTTATCATTAATCATCTTCAGAGCAGTTGCCATGGGCGACGTGCTGTAATTAGATGATCCGCTCCCACACACACAGGTGCTTCATTCCTCACCTGGCTCTGAGAAGCAGCACATCCAACCCCATGCTTCTGTTACATAAGGCAGACCCAGTGCCCCCCCCATGAATGGGGTCAGTGGGACAGAGGGATGGAGGTGGGGACCTACATGTGCCAGAACCTTGATTAATTATGAGGGACAGCAGAGAGACAGGACTGTAGATGGAAACACAAAAACGAGCTCTTATTGTACAAAAGGAAGGAAATTATGAAAAGAGCGTGGCTTTGCTCTGGAAGAAGACAGGAAAGAGGAAACAGTGTGACTGATGGATATAGGCTGGAGGAGGCTAACAGCTCCAAAAACACACGGTGCACAGATAAACACCCAGATGTGGAGTCGTGCTCCTGCTCACTTTACACACCAGTGTCCATTCCAGCAGCTTCCTGTCAGTGCATTAACCTGAATATGAGGAACTGTGGAGCTTTGAATGAGGACAGAAAACATCATAGGGTGTTTACCAAATGCAACATGGAGAAGAAAATAAAATGAGCAAAAGCAATTATAGGGTTTGTCTTTTTTAATTTTAGTGCTTTAAAATGTGCGCACATTTTTTTTTTATTGCAATTTGTTTGTAATGCAACAAAGAAAAGCTGATGTGATCCTCGGTTCTCAAATATGAATTGTTTTTGTTGCCTTCAGGACGCCTCCATGTAATATCTCACTGGAGAACAAAGCGCTATGCAAATTCTTTTATACTAACAGCTATTTGACTTTTAAATTCTATGTAGGGTGGCTGGTGTGTTTTTCATTTTTTTTTTAAAGATGGCTGCGTTATCTTTTTATTATCTTTCTGTGTTTTTTAAGTTATTATTAATGTTGGTCCTTAAGCTCCCTTTCACATTTCTCTTATTTTCTTTTTTTTTTTTTTTATCATCTTATTTTTTTATGTTATTACATGTTTATTTTTGTTTGTTTGTCTCATGTACTGCTCAAACGGATTTCCCCTGGTGGGATTAATAAAGTGGTCTAAGTCTAAGACAGAATATTGTTATAACTAGACCTGCACAACAGTTACAGGCTTTTTACATCACTTTTGGTAATTACAAAGTAAGAAGAATCAAGGTGAAGCAGCTCTGTATTAGAGGGCAAAAGCATGGTGGTGGTACTTTTATTTAATAACCTAAAGATCCACCATTTCTAGTGCCAACCTATCCAGTCAGATTTCTGTCAATACATGTGTCTATAGCCCTTATTTAAGAAGTGGATGTTTGAGGATTTCTTTGAACCTACGCACATGGACAAAATTGTTAATATCCCCTTGTTTAATGAAAGATAACCCACACTGATTACAGACACAACATGGATCAGACAAAAGTAGTGATAAATAAAAATGAACAAATGAAAAACAGGAATTGCTTTTTATTGTTTGTTTTAATTTTATTGCTTTCATGCATCCACAGAATTATATAAAAAAAAAATGAGATTTGCAGACTATCAAGAGATGTTTGAGAGAAATGTGCTGTCTAGTGTAAGAAAGCTTGGTCTCGGTCTCAGGTCATGGATCTTTAAGGGGATAATGATGCAAAAGACACAGCTAGAAACAGCCAGGGGTGGATAAGAATAAAACATTGGCTTATTCTGAAGTGTCATTCTATGAATCTGATGTAAATGTTATTGATCTATTCATCTGGAAAAGATAACCTTCAAATCTGAGACAACTGAATCAGTTTGGTCATGAGGAATGGACCAAAGTACCTGCTGAGAGGAGCAGGAATCATCTGCAGTTATTGACTCATAAGGTTGGACAAAGTATTAAGTTAAGCCTGCTATAATTATAGTCCAGGCCTGTTAAATTAATTTCTTAAAATTATTCTGTTGAAAATCAATGTCTGACTCATTTGTTCATTTTTTATAGAATTTGTATTACTTTTGTCAGATTAAAGTTATTTCTGTGACCTTTTTTTCCCTCTCCATACCGTTTATTAAACGAGGGATTATTTTGTCCACGCATGAATGGGGATTTAAGAAAATTGTTTTTAAAAAAAATCTAATGAAAACATGAAATTATTCTATAATCAAAGTTATTTGTTTAGAATTTTTCCAATAATACATTTTAAAAATAAAGTTGAGGTCTTGTAATAACCATTTCGAGACACAAGAGGGCGCCTTTAAACTCCCTCACAGGTGAAATCTGATCATAAGCAAACAGAGAGGGTTGAACCAGAAATGCATGAGCAGAGCCTCTGAATTAAGACATTGTTTTCTAATGTAATAAGCAATTGGATGAATTGTGGTAAATGACAAAACAGTCTGACACATATGTGTGACTGAATTGACACATGGCAGCGATGTTGACTATAACACACTTGATGATTACATATCAATCTTTTAGGACTTCCTGTTTAATATTTGCGCTGCAGTTTCTGTGAATGTCAAGGTCTGTCTTTATCAAGGGTTTTAACCAAGATCTTCCTAGACGACCTTGTGTGTCTTCTTCTGGCCTGTAGAGGGCAGATAAACACACACACACCTCCACAGGCTCAAACCAAAAGCAAAAAAAAATGATAAGCACAACAGTGACTCAGTTCAAGTTTATTCAGCAAATATTTATTCTTTTATAACTTTCTTAACTTTAAAGGTTTTGAATAAGGCTTTCTTCTGACACACTGTCAATCACTGGGTGTGTCTTTAGAAAGCAAGTCTCACAGTACAGAACTCTTTCATTCATCTTGCAAAATAATAAAAAGGGAAGCTTTTGGAAAGAGGCAAAGTTAACAGTCAAGAAATACAAAAATATAAAGTAATTCTAACAGCTGTTTCAATTCATTTCCTCTTTTCCTCCAGACTATATATCTTTGGATCAACTTATAATGACTGTATACTTATAAGACATGTTTACACAGGATTCATAAATCCACATTCAGGCCCATCTCTTCATAAACCCCTTCTGTCTTTAGATCATCCTATCCCCCTTGTTTTCCTCCCCAAATATAAATTTGAATATTTCCCCATGAACAAAGACAGATCCTCCCACCTCCCCCCCAGAAACACTCCAGTCTCTCTCTGGTGAAGAACACTGCAGCGCTGCCTCGTCCCAGTGTGTCAGAAAGCCTGGGGGAATTGCAGCATGATGGAGGAAGAAGCTGTTCATGCTCGCGGTTGAACTTTTGGCACTGAGAGTCCTGAACATGAGTGTTGATGCGGCCCATCTCCGTTCCGCTGCCCTACTCTTGCAGCGCTATCCCACGTTTGGACGGAGGCACCAGGTGTTCGGGCAGCGAGGCTGGCAGCTCGTGACCCTCCAGCTTCACCTTGATCAAGTGGTTGGCCAGAGCAAACTCCTCGTCGTCGAGGTAGCCGTCCTTATCCACGTCGGCCAGCTTCCAGATCTTTCCTAGGACCGTGTTGGGGAGCTTGGACTTCAGCATCTCCTTTTTGGCAGCATTACCGGACACTTTGCCGTTGATGGGAGAGAGAGTGTAGAAGATCTCATCGTATGTAGGCTTGTCACGCCCCACTACCCACTCCAGCTCGTCGATGCCTTCGCTGGCTCCCTCGCCGTAGCCGTGGCCGAAAGGTCCGGTCATGGTTCCCTCAAAGGCTCCACCCTTGACCACCTGGCTCGGCATAGCAGATTCCTCCTGGCGCACCATCGCCATGAGACGGGCGATGTCGTTGGCGAGCATGTCCTCCACCGACTCCAGCAGTTTGGGCTTCAGGGATGCAAATTTGGTGAAGTCCTGACCGTTCAGCAGCTCCTGAAAGGAAACAAAACAGGAATTGAAGATAGAAATAGATCAGTCCTCAACGGTGACCAATGGAAGCAGAGAGCAAGAAGCAGGATTTCCTGAGAAAGGAGGAAAAATAAATCCCATCCCCATCCGAGCCCTTCCTGAAGGGCAGCGGCAGGAAACCAGGGCAGAGATGTGAAAAGTAAAGGTTGAAAGGTCATTTCACTCCATAGGTTTTCTTTCCAAGGCATCAGATCATTTAAATGAGCCCATGACTCTTTGTTTGCATTCCTATTTTTTTATTCCTCACCTGCATCTTTTCAAGTTTAGGAAAGTCTCCGGGTGAGATCTGGTGCTCCTTTTCGATTTTTTGGTAGATCTCTCCCAGGTTGGCGATTAGCTCCTTCTTCTTGGAGTCCTTCCCAAACACACTGGGCATCTCCTTCTTCAGGGAGCTGATGATGTAGGCTTGCACCTGGGCGACGACACAAGCAACATTTTCATTGCTTTTTTAGCTTATAGTGTTCTTTGCAGATCGAGAACAATTCAAAGCAGATTAAAAAACAGATTTATTTGGTGACCCAAAAAATATCACTGGAGCTGTTACCGAGTGATCATTACTCACACTTGGACACTTTTAGACTCATTGAGTCAAGAGCTAAACTTTTTGCAGATAACAGTAAGGCTAAAAACTGCAGCAAAATGTGGTAAAAACTAAAGAGTGTTTTTGCTAAATCTATTAATCTGTTTAATCATTTTTTTTTTTATTTTTTATTAATGGATTAGCCGCTTCACAAAAGATGTGTAATAGGAGAATTTATTATTTTATAGAATTTGAAGCAGGTTAATACAAAATATCCACTTGATGAGGTTTTCTAACCTTAGTGTAAAATAAATATATCTTATGTATAGTTTTGACATATTTACAGCTTTCAGGTTGTTTGTTCTTAATAATTACTCTGTTATCAAGTTAATTAACAAATATAAAAATAAAAAAATCAGTAATGATGAAATCAATTACTTGTTTCATCCTGTGTGGAAAATTACTTTTCCACCTCTATCTGTCATGGGACATCCTTTATTCAGAAATATTTGATGGCTTTTTAAAATCAGATTTAGGTGAAGCACCTGCTTTCTCTGAGCACTAAACACCATTGACTTTTTAATGCTAGCTGTGCTAACCGCTAATGCAAGATGATAAAGACCATTTAAAACTAAAAGAATAGATATCTATCTATCTTGCGCACCTGGTTAGAGAAAAAGAAAATAATCAGATTTGTAGCAAATCAAGTCAAAGCTATGGGAAAAAAATTATTAGAAATAGAACTTAAAAATCTGACCTTTAATTTTTTGCTCTTTGAAAATCGCAACAATCTTTTGACATACCACTGCAGTTCCTTTAGCTTGTGGTTAATGTCAAAAACCTTCCCCTAAGTTGCACAACAAATTCCCAGTTTTGTGCAACAGATGTCATGGGTGGAGCGAAACATATATGATGTGAGAAAGTAGAAAGCCCATAAACTGGGCAATAAGACGGAACAAGTAGACACACCTTTCAGATAGCAGTAAGCCTCCAATAGTTGCATCAATAATGTCGTGTGTAATTTTTAATTTTATGCAAATATTCTGATCCTGAATCCGGCTGAGTTTGAAGATGTGATTTTATTCTTCTTGAGCCTCATTTAAGCGAATTGAATATATGACGTTTTGAACTTACTTTTACTGGCTGTTTGCAAAACACAGCAAGCTTGATAAATGACACAATTATAACCAATATTCAATATTTAGTAGCTGTATTAATAAAATATGTTTTTTTTAGCTTTTTTAATTCAAGCACTTGGAAGAGTTTTTTTAATTTTATATTTTAGTTTAAAAAAGGTGAAAATCTAAAAACAATAAAAAAAAGAAACAAAGATCCTAACTATATAGCATGTTGGAGCTCATGTTTCCATCTTCAAAGATGCTTTAATATTTAGTTTGACTTGACGGCTGTGACCAATTCAGCAATTGGAAATATTTAAGCAGGAAAAGTAAAAGAAAACTACGCTGGCAAACTACAGCATCAAGTTATTTTCCTTAAATGAAACATGTCTGTGGATCCAGTACGATTTTACTCCAGGTTGTGGTATCCTGAGAATCTCTCCTTGGTTGATCATTAAGTCCGTTCTGATCTTGTTAATACTAACCTTCGCAAGGCGTGCCCTTTTGATGAGGTCATTAAGTTTGCGCAGAGCAGCGTTGCGTGGCAAAGATTGGATGTCCAAGAACAAGTCCTGCTCCTCCGCCTCAAACAGCTTCCTGTTATCAGGGACCAGCAGCGGCTGAGCCCAGAATGACCCGATGTACACGCGGACCACCTGGAATAAAGTTTCCATAGGTTAAAAACAAAAGAAAAGACACCATTTCCTCTCAGTTACTTTCATCTACCCACACTCGCACACTAAAGGAAATTCTCTAATAGGTCACAAGCATGACAGAGGACGGCTGCTGCACAAACATTTATGCTGTACAAACAAAAGTGGCAAATAGGATGTGACATAATGAACAGCTGTGAGGCTGTGAGTGAAACAAAGATGAAATATTGAAATAAAAGTATCGTGATTCAAAACCTTTCTGCTGCAACTCAGAGTGAAAGTCAATAAATAATGACCTACAAGAGCCAAAGGTTTCTCTGGGATCCGGTAGATGAATACGGCTCTGGATCAAACATTAACTCGTCAGGTAGAATCAGATGACTGTGTCACATGATAGGACATGGGATCTGAAAAGGTGGCTGTTCGCTTTCATTAAGTTCAGGGTCTCAACGTAACCAAAAGCATAAATCAAAATGTCAGAACACTTATCATCTCGTTCGTTTTAAAACATCTTCTGACTCAACGTCTGCCCAGGCCTGTCAGAGAGTGTCAAATTTTTCACCAAAAAAAGTCCAAAGGTGTCGTCGACCTGCTAATTAGTCCACGTAGGAAACGTTCTTGTTTTTTCAGGGAAAAATTAAAAATCAAGAAAATAGTTAAAATGAACTTTCCCTAGGGGCTTTATACCTCAGGTGTGTTGATGATTTTTCCCAGTGACCACATCAGCGCCCCGTAGACCCTCATCAGCTGCTGGGTGCTGATCTGATCCGCTTTGTTCAACACCACACGCATCTTGTCCTCGTGGTTCTTTAGAGCCCGGATCACCTCGGAGAACTCATCGGAGATGTCCAGCTTGTGGGCATCGAACAGGAGGATGATGCGGTCCACGCGCTCAGCAAACCACTCCAGCACCGCAGCAAAGTCGTAACCTGGAGAGAAGAAGCAGAGAGGATGAGCTGTTGGTTTTGGGCTTAATATTAAGGGAAATATCAACTCGAATCATTTTTAGAAAGAATAATGATATTAAAGTTGCTACAGAGCAAAGTTAGCATCACAAGCTGTAAAAGGTGCTTTATTTCTAATTAGAAAAACAGACGCCTGATTTCGAGAGGTTTAACTGTAGTTTCTACAAAAAGATATTATATAGAGCTTATAACAGTTGGTCATGCTGAAGCCACAAACTTTCATTTTATATGATGCAGGTACAGAACTACTAACCATTTCCTGTGTGTTGTATGGTACAGAGCAAAAAGAAAACAGGACTTCTTTTGGCTTGGTGAACTAGAGATCTATGCAGCTCCTCTAGGGTTACCGGGGGCTTCTTGGTAGCTTCTCTGATAAATGTTAACCATTACCTGCTGGGTGACCATGTCTGTCTATAAGGATAGTTTGTGGCAAACCCTTCAAGGTGACTGCTGGAAAAGTTGTCCTTAATGTTTTCAAAGTGTGCACTTGACTTTATTTAGGGGTTTAAGAGTAAAGAGTTTACATAACAGATTTTTCTTTTAATGATTAAAAACAATTCATCTCCTTTTCTTCCACTTTACACTTTTATCTAGCTTGGCGTTAAGCTATTACATATAATCCCATTGTAAGATAATAAATGTTTGATTGTACCAATGTGTTCCAGTTCATTGTCATGGTGCTCCACTGATGTTTGAAAAAAGACCTTTAAGAGGCTCCTTCATTTACCTGGTTAACGTTCAACTAGGTGTCCAAAGACAACAGAGGAGCTTCATAAAATTAAAGACCGTTTGAAAGAGAACACTTCAGGACAATCTGACTTCTTCATGTAAATCATGGTCTGGATTTGTAAAATAAGTTCCGCCAATGAAAAAAAAAATAAAAAAATACAGCCTCCGCTAGTAATAGCACATGCAAACATGACCAAGTGAGCCTTCAAAGCAAAGAAACTGCACCAAGCAGAGAGAGAATGTCAGGAGTTGTGGTTTCGATTAGTGCCTGCGTATCATCTGATCAGAAAAGAATGCAGCAGGGGTAAAAGCTCATCTCAGCTGTACTGTGATCGCCGCCAGATCAGCTGCTCATGCATTCCACTATGGCTTGTTTTTGTTCCCGCCTGAATATATCTCAACAAAAAGAGACGGAGAGATTGAGTCAAATGAGAGGGTGACAAAGATAGAAACGGAGGAGAGGGTAGAGGCTGCACAAACAGATGGGGGTGAATGAAAGTGAAAGTATGAGAGAAGACCAATGTGGGAGGCAGCAGTAGAAATGAGCCTGTGTTTGCTCATACGCTGACAGAGAAAGGTCAGGGGAAACAAATGGGAATATTTCAAATATCCCAGAGGGGAGCTGGTCCAAGGCCTCCTTTCCTTCTCTCAGAAGCCGGTATATAAACCATCTTCAGGAAATCAGACACAGACAGCTGCCGAATCCCAGACTCACTTATAGTATCACTGCTGAGAGGCCTCTACCATACTGCAGGGACATTCAGAGAGAAACCCATGATAAACATATCAGAATAAAGATGAGTGAGCATCTATTTTAACATTATAGACCAACCCACTGCTGTGAACAATAGGTCACAGTTTTACTTTGTTACAAGAGCCTCTCTTTGTAGTTTAATTCCCACTAATGAATATTTGGATGAATTTTTATTTCTGAAGAGAAAAGAAGAGTCCAAACTTGTTCTAAACCTATTCTTTACTCTGCTTTTCTTTCTGGTGTAAGGTACAAATATGGCCTTATACCATATATCAGAGAAATGCATTGTATTGGTAACAGCATGCAGCTTGGTCACTGACATTATTGAGCACGAAACTAATGGTTAGAACCCCCTGCAACACCTTTAAAGTCGTAGGGAAGCGGCTGTTCCAACTGCTGCATTTCCAAATTCTCCCAAGTGGTGCCCAAGTTTACACGGGTGAATGAAGTGAATGCGACTGGTCGATTATCAAGGGGGCGGGATTGTTGTGGCGGAATGTTCACAAGAGTTTGGTTGTGGCCGGTTTCTCGGAAGCATCTTGCTAACCAGTTAGCAACTTACTGCTAGTAGGTTTCCAATGGGAAATTACATTGGGACCCAGTAGCACTTAGCAACGACACTGTCAAGGAATGCTATGGAAAGCGGGAAACATGCAAGTGAAGGAGAGTTTTGTGTCAGAGGTCGTTAATGGGTCTCCTCCGTCATACATTTTTTTATTTATTTTTTTTAGAGGATGAAAGCGGAGACAAAGATATTGTGGAAGAGGGCGCCAGGGCAGCAGAAGCTTGGTTTGGTGTAGAAGGCTTACAGCCGTACATGTTTGAGCCCTTGCCTCGCAACGCTGCCAGTTCTGTTAGCTCTACGCCTGCCGAAGACACAGACGTCCATCACCGTGAACACTGGGACGGAACTCAATGCTGAAGTAAATGATTCTTATTTCAACTG